GTATAACTAACTGTAACCTAACCTACACAGTGCATCTAACATGTGTGGGAGCCTGGAGTGTCCCTTTAATAATATATACCGACCCAGTATAACTAACTGTAACCTAACCTACACAGTGCATCTAACGTGTGTGGGATCCTGGAGTGTCCCTTTAATAATATAAACCCACCCGGTATAACTAACTGTAACCTAACCTACACAGTGCATCTAACGTGTGTGGGATCCTGGAGTGTCCCTTTAATAATATAAACCCACCCGGTATAACTAACTGTAACCTAACCTACACAGTGCATCTACCATGTGTGGGAGCCTGGAGTGTCCCTTTAATAATATAAACCCACCCAGTATAACTAACTGTAACCCAACCCAGACAGTGCATCTAACGTGTGTGGGAGCCTGGAGTGTCCCTTTAATAATATAAACCCACCCAGTATAACTAACTGTAACCTAACCTACACAGTGCATCTAATGTGTGTGGGAGCCTGGAGTGTCCCTTTAATAATATAAATCCACCCCGTATAACTAACTGTAACCAAACCTACACAGTGCATCTAACGTGTGTGGGAGCCTGGAGTGTCCCTTTAATAATATAAACCCACCCAGTATAACTAACTGTAACCTAACCTACACAGTGCATCTATCGTGTGTGGGAGCCTGGAGTGTCCCTTTAATAATATAAACCCACGCAGTATAACTAACTGTAACCTAACCGACACAGTGCATCTAACGTGTGTGGGAGCCTGGCGTGTCCCTTTAATAATATAAACCCACCCAGTATAACTAACTGTAACCTAACCTACACAGTGCACCTAACGTGTGTGGAGCCTGGAGTGTCCCTTTAATAATATAAACCCACCCAGTATAACTAACTGTATCCTAACCTACACAGTGCACCTAACGTGTGTGGAGCCTGGAGTGTCCCTTTAATAATATAAACCCACCCAGTATAACTAACTGTAACCTAACCTACACAGTGCACCTAACGTGTGGGAGCCTGGAGTGTCCCTTTAATAATATAAACCCACCCAGTATAACTAACTGTAACCTAACCTACACAGTGTATCTAACGTGTGTGGGAGCCTGGAGTGTCCCTTTAATAATATAAAGCCACCCAGTATAACTAACTGTAACCTAACCTGCACAGTGTATCTAACGTGTGTGGGAGCCTGGAGTGTCCCTTTAATAATATAAACCCACCCAGTATAACTAACTGTAACCTAACCTACACAGTGCATCTAACGTGTGTGGGAGCCTGGAGTGTCCCTTTAATAATATAAACCCACCCAGTATAACTAACTGTAACCCAACCTACACAGTGCATCTACCATGTGTGGGAGCCTGGAGTGTCCCTTTAATAATATAAACCCACCCAGTATAACTAACTGTAACCTAACCTACAAAGTGCATCTAATGTGTGTGGGAGCCTGGGATGTCCCTTTAATAATATAAACCGACCCAGTATAACTAACTGTAACCTAACCTACACAGCGCATCTAACGTGTGTGGGATCCTGGAGTGTCCCTTTAATATTATAAACCCACCCAGTATAACTGTAACCTAACCTACACAGTGTATCTAATGTGTGCCTGGAGTGTCCCTTTAATAATATAAACCCACCCAGTATAACTAACTGCCTACACAGGCATCTAACGTGTGTGGGAGCCTGGAGTGTCCCTTTAATAATATAAACCCACCCAGTATAACTAACTGTAACCTAACCTACACAGTGCACCTAACGTGTGTGGGAGCCTGGAGTGTCCCTTTAATAATATAAACCCACCCAGTATAACTAACTGTAACTAACCTACACAGTGCACCTAACGTGTGTGGGAGCCTGGAGTGTCCCTTTAATAATATAAACCCACCCAGTATAACTAACTGTAACCTAACCTACACAGTGCATCTAACGTGTGTGGGAGCCTGGAGTGTCCCTTTAATAATATAAACCCACCCAGTATAACTGTAACCTAACCTACACAGTGCATCTAACGTGTGTGGGAGCCTGGAGTGTCCCTTTAATAATATAAACCCACCCAGTATAACTAACTGTAACCTAACCTACACATCTAACGTGTGTGGGAGCCTGGAGTGTCCCTTTAATAATATAAACCCACCCAGTATAACTAACTGTAACCTAACCTACACAGTGCATCTAACGTGTGTGGGAGCCTGGAGTGTCCCTTTAATAACATAAACCCACCCAGTATAACTAACTGTAACCGAACCTACGCAGCGCACCTAATGTGGATGGATCCAAACTATGGTTTACAAACCTAAAAGATATTATTTACTGACGTGTAATTGTACTGCATAAGGCCCTTATCAAATATTTAGTTGGCCTTAAAGGAGCAATATAGGTTCCTGAACACAAATGTGTATTCCCGACCCACCCCTCCCTTGCTCTCTTTAATAAATAGTTTACTCATCTAAATTTCCAGCTGTTTGGGTGTGCTGGTGCTGGCGCTGGCTCATGCCGCCGATCCTCTTCCTTTGCTGAATTTAGAATAGAAAAGCATTGAATTGGCTGAGATTGCCAATCCTGATGATCTCAGCCAAGGAGGCAGGGCTGGGTGGAGCCAAACACCACCCTGGCCAATCAGCATCTCATCATAGAGCTACATTAAATCAATGCATCTATAGGAGGAAATGTGTGTCTCCATGCAGAGGGTGGATAGACTGAATGTCAGTCACACTGTGCAGCACTGCCCCAGGAAGCACCTCTAGCAGCCATCTGAGGAGTGGCCAGTGAAGTTATCACTAGGCTGTAATGTAAACACTGCATTTTCTCTGAAAAGACTGTTTTTACAGCAAAAAGCCAGAAGTGAATGATTCTACTCACCAGAACAAATACAACAAGCTGTATACTATGCAATAAGCTGTAGTTGTTCTGGTGACTATAGTATCCCATTGAAATCCCTCATTCTGCACTTTCCCCTTTAAATTATTTGAACAGTTGGTGACGGGGTACTGATCTACTTTAACTCTGGACTAAACACTTACCTCTTTACCTACCAACCTTCACCCACTTTTGTTTGTGCTTTACATTCTGCAGCATACCGTATCGGAGATCCATGCTTCGTCACCTGAGTAAACACCAGCAATCAGAATAATAAAAGCTGCCTTGAACTATTTCCGTGAGTTCCTACCATGACACATACATTGTTACTGTATCACTGTGTGGATTGATTTAGCTTGCGTGTGCTTTGGTTATATATTAACCTTACATTAGTAGGGGGGGAATGAGCAAATGGCACTAATAAAACCAGTCCCTATGTAAAAGACTGACACTCCATTTCTTAAATCTGAACTTGTGATTTTCCTGCAAGTACAGAGAAAGATTAAGATCCCACAGCCACAGGGTCTTTGGTTGGTTACTGGTTTGAGCCCCCCTTAATTCTGCACATAGAGATAGTTGATGGTTCCAGGGCCCCTGCCAAAGCCCCTCGGGTCCTGGGTGGCCACCTAGGGTCACCTTATGTGTAATCCTGCTCTGTGCAGTGATTGAAACGGTATAGGAGTTCAATAAAAGGAGATAGAGCTGTATTAGAATACTGCGGGCCCCAGAAAAACTGGCAAAATGCAGTCCTTCACCCCCGCACACATTCAGAACACGAAGGCAATATGAACAATTCCATATTGTTTGCGGTGGGTCATACATTTCTGTGGGTCATAGGAAGTCGCCTACTGGTAAATCCTTTCTGTATTAGAGGTTTTAAGCACGATTTAGGCATGAGGCACATGCACACTACACAATGAGATTGGGGGAGTTTTAATACAGACTTCCAAAATGGTAAACTGACTCTGCTATGTAGGAGAACTTTTCTATTGCATCATTTGAGAGAATTTTGCAACATAATTGGAAATGTATCCTCATTTCCTAAAGAATAAATCCCAAAGTAAAGAGGTTTTTTTTTTTTTTTTAAACAGAATATTACTCAGATTTTTCAGCCTTACCAGCAATAAAAGCATTCCTTCATATAGCAACATTCTTAAAACGACACTCCAGATCCCTATAGCACTTCGGCTAAAATGCTTTATATGTGAAGAGTCTGTCCTCGTTTTCAAGTTTACAAAAAGTGCAGATTACAATAGAAATGTACAAATTAACCTTGTTACAGTCACTCTGTGTGTGTATATGTCTGTCAATGAGTGTGTATGTCTGTCTGCGTACTAGTGTGTGACTGTCATTGTGTCAAATTAGTGTGTGTGTCTGTCAGTGTGAGTGTGTGTTGGCTAAACAGCGTGTATTTCAGTGCACGCATCAGTGAGGGAGTGTCTGTCAGTAAAAGTGTGTGCGGCCTTGACAGGAAGGGGTGGGAAAAATGTAAATTAGGGGGTTGCCCGAGTTTGTTCATGCCTAGGGCAGCACAAATTCAAAATACACCACTGCTTGTTTCCAGCTCTGATGTAGAGCTATGTAGAAAGAACAATAATGTCTAACACAAACTTTTAAGTCCACTTTTCCTTTATTAAGGAGCCATAGAAAACAGATGACATTTCGGCCACACATGGCCTTTCTCAAGATGAACTGTGCAGCCTCTCAGCCGGCCACTTTGCCTTCCTTGTCACCAAGCATGCTGATATCTTCCAATCCAATCTAATGCTCCTTATAGAAAAACACATGTGCGGCTTCACCACTCTCTTCCCGTCAAATGCTCTCATAGGGATTCAGTGAATGCAATGCTTCCCTATGACAAGCATTTGGGGACAGTCAACAATCTCATGCAAGGCGTGTGGGCATTAAACATGACATGACAGTCTGATTTGCTCATCGCAGCGCTAGCGCCCTCTGGTGGCTATAAAGGACGACAACAACTAATGGTGTGTTTAGCCCTGAAATTAAATCATTGCCTATCTACAAAACTACAATGTCTTACATTGCAGGACTAATACTACATTGAGAAGAAGTTGTGTCTGTGCTTATAACAATGTATTATAGGCACATCCCCATTTATCACCCACACTCCTCCTCAGTTCCTGTTTTGTTTTGAGGTCAAACTGGCCGTACCCTCCCTCCCAGACCCTCCCACCTCCTGGACAGCTCACTAAGAATGCAGCTTCACAATGGATGCTATCCAGGAGGTGGGAGGGTCTGGGAGGGAGGGTCTGCTGCTGATTGGCTGGAATGTGTCTGCTGACTGTGAGGTACAGGGTCAAAGTTTACTCAATGATGAGTCCGCGGCGAACCGTTCGTGAACCGTTCGGCGAACCGTTCGGGACATCACTACCCTCAAATCAACAAAAAATAAATAAAATGCCAAAAGTTAGGTAGAGCAAAATATTAGTAAAACAGGACACTTTAATGTCAATTTACTTTATTATTTTGTAAATGTGAATTTTACAAAGCATCTTAACAGTTAAAGGATCACATCATTTGATGGAGGACTTTCTCCTCGCCCCCTCCCCTATGATATGAAAACAGCTATGAGCATTTGTTGAAATGTCTGGGTTTTTTGTGTTTATATATATTTTTTTTATATTATTTTATTTCCATTACCAATATATTAGCAAAGCCATAGTTACAAAATAACAGTCTTTAACTATACATAGTAACAGCACAGAAATACACCAGTGGATAAAACGCAGAAAAAAAACAAAAGAAAACAAAGAATAAGGCTGGGTGATAACTCAGAGACGGTTCTGTGAAGTCGGCTTGACAAATAAAAAGTAAACTAAAAACTGTTAACAATCATGAAATACAGTATTACTTAATAGCTAAACAGATACTCTGAAACAACCATAAAATCTGTCTTGGACCTCTAAACATTCGGCCCAAACGATTAATGCTGTGTTTGAAACAAATGGCATTCAAGTTAGCAAGTCCAAAATATTTATACGCTTTCATTCGCTAAAAATAGTATTGCAAATTTTGGCTTTCTTTTCACTTCTTTGACATTAAATCCTAACCATGTGCAAAACGCTTTTAAATGGAAGATACCGATTAAACAGTGAACTTTTCCATTTGAGTGCTTTAAACTATCCTTGCCGTGTGGATGAATAGGGCAGGTTTTGATACAAAAGAAACACAGTGGGTTAAATCCATACGATCGATGCAAGCAAATCCGAAAAACAAATGATCAGATTGGCCATCTTTAAACATGCTTCCATAAAGGAGATGAATGATAAGTAGTGATGTGCCGAACGGTTTGCGAACAGTTCGACCACGGACTCATCATTGAGTAAACTTTGACCCTGTACCTCACCGTCAGCAAACACATTCCAGCCAATCAGCAGCAGACCCTCCCTCCCAGACCTTCCCACCTCCTGGACAGCATCCATTGTGAAGCTGCATTCTTAGTGAGCTGTCCAGGAGGAGGGAGGGTCTGGGAGGGAGGGTCTGCTGCTGATTGGCTGGAATGTGTCTACTGACTGTGAGGTACAGGGTCAAAGTTTACTCAATGATGAGTCCGTGGCGAACAGTTCGGGACATCACTAATGATAAGACATTTCTAAATATATAAAAAAAGGAATAAACAACAAAATAATTAAAACCATAAAATTTGTAACAAACAAAAAGAGAGACAACTGAGGAATATCTGCTAAAAATTTATTCAGGGGGCAAAGTTTTCTAAATCATTTGCCAGATTTAAGGAAAATCAAATCAACAAAAATTATCCCAACGCTCTTAACATTTAAGAATGTTCTGAAGAAAACTACACGAAATGAAAGACTGCAAGATAAGTCACATTTATATTTATAATAAACAGCCAATGATACCTTTCCCATAGAAACCAGATGACGGTTACATTGCACAAGTTGTTATATCCAACAGAGGCGCTATAGTCGACCTCTAACGCTCATTGCCGTCCAAATGTATACAGATCTTTGTGGATAATGCACAAATTTAATTTCACATTATCTCAGTCCTAGCAGAGGGGCCTGGTTTTGGATGCAGTTTTTGTAAAACCAATCAAAAGTGGTGTGACCAAAATCAATGTGACATGCGCCCAAAGACTTGTTGCACTATGTGCAAGATGTGATAGTACAGTTAGTTGTACAGAAAACCGTAGTGGTTAAGGTAATTTGAGTGTCCCTTTAAAAAGTGCAATCTCAGACTTGCTTTGCCAAAGATCAGCTCAGGAATAAAGTTTATTCTTGAAGTTTGCCAAAGACACTAAATTTCTCTGAGTCTTAGTCTGTAACATGGTTCTGTAAAACTCCCCCTAAGTGCCAATAAAAACGCTATATAAAATATAACCACCAGTGCAATGTAACCGTAAAACGTGAACGACGTATTACTAGAGTTCTAGTACAAACTCGTTGGATTTGTATTTGATTGAAAATATCGATAATGTGCAGAGGGAGTGACTTTATCAACCAACTGGCATGTTCTCACAGTGGAAGTGAAGGCAAAACGCGCCGTGTGCTTCTTATACAGATTGCTTTGCTATCGCCAGTAGGATTTACTACTATAACAGTTTGCCTTAAACGTTGACTGGATGTTTGGCGCAGACCATTATTTGTGACAGTCTCCAGCACAACGGTTTCTCAAAACAGTCCTTAAAAGGGAGCTACCATGAGAAGTTACGATTTTATGTGTTTTCACATATTTTCATTTAAAACATAATGGCCAGAGTCCTTTAGTGTAAAATATATTGTTTTTTTCTTCTTACCTCCAGTCTTTTCATTGTCAGTAAGCTACCTATATCAGACAGCCAATGACCCAAACCGTTAGACGTACCGACTGCTCTCTGTAGAACATGGCAGCTCACACTGGCGTGGGGTAATTAACCAGAAACCCCAATATATATTTTTTTACCAAAGGGATATGGACATTGTAACTTAACCGATTTCTGTAGAATACTCAAGGAACTAGCAGTAAACACCCCGAAACCTTGAACATTTTTTTTAAAACTTAACCCCTGTTTAACATAGACATACTTTTTTCGCCATTCCTCAAATGTAAGCAACATCTACGCCTACCAACTGCAATGTGACTTCTGAGTAGGGAACATCTGTTCTCTTTCATGACAGTATTCTGTGTCTTTCACTCCTACAAGTACAATACTAATCTTGTTCTGTTCTCCTGGAGATGCATAAACATTCCTGTGTCTTAACTACAGGGTTTAAAAATATATCAATTTTCTAGAGTCCACGTAATGAACATAAATTTTCTGAGACGGTCGGTAATAGCAGGACAATGAGACGCAGCCAAGTAAAACTTAAGGTCACGCTGTCCTTTTACCAATGCAGCATAAGACTATCAACTACTCCATAGGGTGCAAAAAACACATAGGGGAAATTTAAAGTCTACAGTAAGGATGGAATTTCGGTGACTGCTTCAACAGATAATGTTTAGCAATGAGATTCCGAAAAAAGGTGCTTTTTGTACATCACATAGGTATTTTACATTGCCAACAGTCTAGCAGAAGTAAAAGGTGCAATAAAATCAAAACAACATTTTGGCCGGACCTTAGTCACAATTATTTGTGCGCCTTTGTGTGAATGCTAAAAAAAGTGCTGTAAACAGATGGGACTTAATAAAAAAATTAAAAAAAAAAAACCCACCTTTTACCAAATCCCTTTATAGTAGGAAGAATTACAATTTAAAGGCCCAACGGCAAAGAAATACGTGGATTTAACCCTTTGCCAGATGAGGGGTGTGCTCAAAGAAATGCGTTGGGGACACCGCCAGCACGCAAAAGGCTAATAACTGTCCAAGCATTCTTTACTTAACCTTTCTAAGGCACTCAGGAAAGCCTGTACAAGCCAAAGATTGCCCCCAAATTATCATACATTCATTACCTTTTTATTTCAGCTGTCAAAGTTACAAAACAATCACCCATACAACTTTATTTCTTCAAGCATTACCAATCCGTCACACAGAAAACATTAGTGCAAAATACTTTCATTTCTGACAATAGCTAGTCCTATTCCATTCACATTTTTGTAAAAAATGTTTTGTTTTTTTTAAACCCCTATAGTTCTTGCCTTCCTAAACAAACAAACAATTATGTACAAGGAGAAATGCGCTAAATAAAAAAAATAGATATATAATCATCTTCGTTGTGCAATATGCCTGTCTTGTGTTTAAATCCTCAAAAGCAGACTCACTATGCTCTTTCTATATATTAATATATATGTATATATAGAGATATTTTAACACAGTCTGTGCAATACATACATTGGCCCAAAAATGGTCAAAACCATTTAAGTAATAACAGTATCAATTTACGATAGAACATGCAAATACAGCATTGGTGTTGCCAGCGCATTTCGCCAGCCATATCAACCCGCCCCCCCGTCGTTTCATTCAACGCCATCCTGTGGAAATCCCCTTTTTCACAGACTATGACCAATAAACAAAATCCGAACACACAATTAAAAAAACAAACAAAAAATGCATATACCAAACTGATATACACACACACACATTAAGTGCTCTTTTGTCTAGGGTAAATAGATGTTACCATTAAAAGGAGGTGGCTCTGGAAAAATGAGTTCAAGGATGCATAACCTGTATACCTGTTTTATTTTATTTATAGGTGTCCCCCTCTTAAACATGGGAACACAATCACCCTACGTTTGTTGTTTAGATTTTGCTGATTAATAACCCTTTGGCTCAATCATTTTGCTATTTAAAGTACACAATAAGACCTGCACTGCAGGAATCGTACTTCTTTCAAGGTAGACAGTATAAGGATATATGTTTTCCTTAAATTGTTTAGTCTCATGTCAACTACTGTTAAGTTGTGCCTAATATACGTGCCCTCTGCTGCTACGGTAACCAAAACAGAATTGAATAGTTAATGCTTGGAAATCCTTGCCACTAGTCCTACAAAGAGTAGTTTTAATCAGTTGGATTACAGCTCTTACCCAACGTATTTTGCATAAGACAGTAAAATAAACATCTGACAGCTAGTATTGTTGGATGTCATAAATTGGTCCTTCTGTCTTGTGCAAATTTCTACATGGAGATAACATGGCTGATAAAAAAAAATAATAATAATAATCAGGATAAGTTATGGGTTTAAAAAAAAAAAAAGTGTGAGGCATTGATCTATGTATATATTTATATATTAGTCCTTTGTTTTAGACATGACACATCAACAAAATTACACGGTGATCATTGGTGTCACTAAATTCTTCCTAAACATCTGCGGTCGTGTGTTCGTGTATGTAGTTCTGCTTCCGATAATAGAACTTGTTTGGTAAATCCGTTCTCATTGGGTCTATGTGTGAGTATATGGAGACAATACATATTTCAATTGCCATCTGTATCATAGATCTATGATCTATAAGTCTCTCATAGGTTCCTTTCGCACAGTGTAAATGAACACTCCAAGCACTATGACCTTATGTTGCCAGGAGAGCTCTAGCGCCTCCTATTGTAAGGAACCAAACCGTTTCAGAATGGTTTGAGTTCTTACCTGGGTTGGCCCCTAGAACCACTATAGCGCAATAATGGTGGGTAATCTTTATGTGAAAATTAAACGCAAACAAAAACACTTTACTTACTTTATCAGTTTATAAGATTTAAATGGCTTGCTCTAGTAAATCCTGTCTACTTTATCATTAATTGGGAGGCCACAAAGCCTCTTGCCAACTTAACCACTGTAAAACAATATTTATTTTTTGGTCCCTTATTGTAGAAAAAGAAAACAAATTATTCAATGTGTCAGTAAAATGAATAATCTTTGCGTAGTGTTCTTAGATGTTAACGATTATACACCAAGATCTATATTACCACACACACAGTTAGGAACTTTTTAGATGTATCCATAGTAAGGATTTTGGCATCAAAACATTTGCTTTTTTTGGCGACATGAACAATTAAGCAATCCTCTATGTTAAATTACAGATTTAGGATAATTGGCTGTTAATTTTATGCTGACAACTTCTATGTGGCTAATACAGGTGATCGGTTCTGTCTAGAATATTTATATAATGAATACTTTTCAAACCCCTCTGTCCTTCTTTTCTATCCTAATGTCCCTCTTTTCTAGGAGCTCCGTATTGTTGGTGTGTCTGAGTGTATAACAGAGCTCCACAGCAATAATACTCCCAGTAATGTGTCTGAGTGTATAACAGAGCTCCACAGCAATAATACTCCCAGTAATGTGTCTTTGAACTACAATAAATGTGTTTAATAAGTCTGTGTAAATAAGATACATTGTTCTTGTTCTAAATTACGATTTAGTTGATTAAATTCCCATTAGTAAGTCACCTAAAATTCAGAGTAAATCCATGTTCACAGACGAAGCAAAAGTCTACTACATCCTGTGCTCCCCTTTAGGACACCCTTGGAGCTAGCTGTGGAACACAAAGTATGATGGCTTTCTTGTCTGAAGTGCTTTGAGGATGATGGGAAGTCCTGCAATTTGATTTAGAAACAGATGTGGGAGGAGCAATGCTTTACTGTTTTTAAGTTTGAGAATAAAAGATTTACAGGTCAAGACAGAGATCCGTTAATGTATGCATGGGTCTACTGCTTGCTTTTGTAAAAGGGATGTATAGAAAGAATGATTGTGTGATCATATGAAGAAGAGGAGTGTAAATGAAATGCGTTGGGACATTTAGAACATTTGAAGAAAAATATTATTTTAAAGTAATATAGCCTTAAATGGGTAGGGTTTTATTCACTAAATTGTGCATCTTGGCCGTAATAACTGCATTGTAGACTTTGTCCAACTTTCCTGCTGTGGTCTAAATTTTGCAATGCGATTGTCAGCTGCTTACTTAGGAAGTAAATCTCATGATTTTGTAAAAGAGGAAAACAATCATAGCCCTCAAAAAATGAAAAGCTCTGGGTCTTTTATAAACAGAATGTGATATTACAGGTTTTTAACCGAAATATGAATGTTTGGTTAAACACATCACAAACACTTACAAATACGATGTTGGAAAACAAACCTCATGGGCAAGAGTGTAAATATCTCGAGATAAGAAATAATTCCCAGATACGAAGGGGAGATAGAAAGTACACATTCCTAAGAGTGGATCTCGAATTTATACATTCCAAAAGGAGATCTGGACTTTACCTATCCAAAGATAGATATCTAGAAGTCTCACCTCTAGGAGGAGATACATTCTCACCACCAACAAGAGAAGATGTAGGACACCCATCTAATGAGAAGAGATCTATAAACCCAACGTCACAGGTTGAGTCCCAGAAGGCTGAAATCCCAATATCAACTCTAGAGTCCTATGTGCTCAAGTTTAACTCCAATTCCAAAGTCTAAAATGAATTAAAACCTTTTGAGGACTGGAGGTACTGGTAAATACATAATCTGCATTAAAAAGGAAAGGAAACCTAACCCACATTGGGTTATATTCACATTCACAGGCATTCCCAAACAAAACAGTGGCTACCACTTTTTCTCCACGGTCACCATTTTGACCTCTTCAGTAAATAAGACTACTTGTGAGTAAAAACAAAAAAATATATATAATTAAAAAAAAGTAAATTTCTTAGAAGTTAGTGCACATAAAAACTTAACATGACATTAATGTTTCAAAATCACCATCCGCCTTCAAGTACATGTAAATCATTAGGAGATTATCTGGACAAATTTTTTTAGAATTTTCCAAACAAGACTAGTTAGGTTTCATTAGGCATAGCCCACCAAACCAGATAGAATGAAGAATTTTATAGAACGTTTTCTTACTTATAATCTAGAAACAAAACAAAACAAAAACGGCTAAAGAAAACTTTCACTCAAAATGATATAAAACCTACATTAAAATAAAAAAACTAATTGTACTTCCCCCAATGAAGTATAGGAGAATCTTCCATTATGTAGCAAATTCCAAAGCTATCTATCCAATGAAAACAGAGAAATAAAGTATGCCCTGTTTTTCCGACTCTTTTAGTGTTGGATAAATTGTTGCGAACAACGTTGCTTTATGGCACCTCGCTCTCATTCTCAGAACCCTAAAGTCCCAACGGAACCCCCACAGTTGACTTATAATATGGCCCAGGAACATTGTAGTCATTCCTCACATCTGATGTGATCATAAAGTTTTGTTTTTTTTTTGTTTGTTTTTTTACTTTTTCTCCATGTATTCGATTCATGAGCAATACCAAAGTTTTTTTGTTTTTGTTTTTCTTTAAAACGTGCTTGCAAGTGATAGATTGATCAAACCGATCGAAAGAGAAAAATATGGGAAAGCGGTCTTTTTTTCTTTTCATAGAGTAAATTCTGTTCTATTAAAAAGGAGCCCGTTTTTTGTTTTTGTTGTTTCCTAAATAGGTCAACTTTTTGACCTAATCATTTACAGTATAATGAATGCGATTATTTCCTTCATATTTTGTTTTGTTTTTTTTAAATACAAGCAGAATAAAAATCACATTTTTTTCAGGCAACAGTAGCAGTTCTGTAGGTAAGTAGCTGATCACATTTTTTTTTTTTAATTAGTAATGCATGCAAGCAGCTTCGACACTACACATCCCTTTTAGGTCATGACGGTTCTAACTTCTTTCTTTATAAAGTTCCTCCATAAGTTGAGTCTTGCCTCCTCGCCGGTGTCTCTGGCCTGCTGGTGGAGCCAGACTCCTGTTCAAAAGGTGGTGGAGGCGTGCTCTGGGTATCCACTGCCAAGGGATCTGTGCCACCTACCTCTTGGATGACAGATCCCGTTGAACCTTCTCCTTCTTGGCTCTGTTCAAATGGAGGGTTGGACCCATTGGTGAGGTCAATATTTGCTGTGTTAGTTCTTAGTGACACAATGGCGCTAGGATCACTTCTCCGCTCTGCATAGATTCTTTGCTCGAATGCTTGCGCCGGGCTTGCCTGGAAATCTGTCTCTAAGGGAATGCCTGCGGTTGTTGACCCCATCACAGAGCGATACATCTCCACACCTTCAGGTAACATAGACTTGATTTTGGGGAGCCAGCGCTTGCGTACCCTGCGGGCGTTAGTGCACATGTCTGCAGCAATGACGTTCATTTCACTCTCCTTAAAATTCGGGGCAAAATTCTGACAATACACTGCAGGCAAACACAAAAAGCTAGATTAGATTAAGGACAGATGAAGGTGGTTATTAATATAAATTGCTCAGGAATTTTTTTTTTTTTTTTTTTACAAACTTTAACCTAAAACAATGGCATGTGGGACTTGATCAAGTAATTAATGCCCTAGTTCTCCTTGCGATGCTTAAGTGTTTATTCACGTACCCTCTCCTTCAGATATCCCTACAGGAAGTAATCGGGAGCTGAAACGTCGGGAGCAAGTGGCGGCCAATTAATCTGGAAGTTTCTTGAAATTCCTAACTATAGTTTTCCCCCCATTTTATTCATGAGCTTAGATAGACTATAGCCCAGTCAAAAACTTACATATGAGAACAGCCTCTTAATTGAGCCAGAATTTGTCTCATACCTCTTGGTTTACCAATTTGTTTGACACAGTCTGCGCGTCCATAAGTCAGCCTTAGGGCACCAGAGCAGGGGCCGCAAAAATCCAAATCCACTGCCTCTGGCTGGGGACTCAAATTATTCACTTCACCTGTCTCCAGATTGCTGGGGAGTCTGGGAGAAGACCGGTGAGAGTCACGCGCTCCTCCTGACATCATCAGAAGATGCTGGCCGACTTCACTTGCTGCTGTGTGCTGGCTGCAGCTCCTGTCCCACCTGGCACCAGGGATAAGGTTTCCACCTGACTGGTCCAAGGTAAGACTCCGGGAGGGGGGAATACACTTTAGTTTTGTATTTTAAGCAGCTCCCAGACTCCCAGGTACAGCTCTGGAACCTTACCCCCTACTACAGACCCTAACTGTGTCTGTGTTTCTTTTTCTTTCCCCCAGCCATACAGACACACACAAAGAGCTGGGGGGAGAAAAAGACACACAATGGGACTGGGGGGAGAAAAAGACACACAAGGGGGTTGTAAGAGACACAGGTGAAGACACTTTTTTTGGTGGTGGATGGGAGGGCAAATTGCATCTTCATCTGTGTAGACAAAAATCCTTGCACCGGCCCTGACTGCGCCTTACAATGTAGCTATTGGAGAATAGAAAATTAAACCACTTGCTTACGTTTGACAGCGTTAAGAACCCTGCTATCCAAAGGCTTCCGGCTGGGATCACTGGTTGACGACCGAATGCCAGTACCACAGCTATTGGCAAGTGTATTCCTGCAAAATAAAATCGGTCAATAAACCGGAAAATCATGCATTCATTAGACCAGAAAAATACTCACATAAACACTGTATAATGGACATGAAGTGATGACTAACCTTTCTACGCCAGATTTGTTCTCCTCAGGACTCTCACAAGCCCAGTTTCTGGTTTTTCATGCCAATAGGGTGATTTACTAAGTTGAATACAAAGTGAATTTCAAATTTAAAGCCAGAGTATCTGGATTGAATGCGTAGTGGACTTAGATGATGTTTTGCGTTCGGCTATTTTGATCTCAAATTTGAAATTCACTTTGAATTCTCACTTTAGTATACTTATCTTTAAAGGTTTTTCCCCAATGGATTTTTAAAAGGATAATACATTATATTGAGCTTTAATGAAACTGGATGCAAACCTCTTATAAAAATTCAAATATTCATCGTTAAAGTAGGATATAGAATATCTGCTGTGCCACGCTGATTAGACACACACTGGTACCTACATATATCTAGAACATATTTATTTTCTGGACAAAGTTTAAAGGAACACTATAGGGTCAGGAACAAAAACATGTATTCCTGACTGTATAGTGTTAAAACCACCATCTAGCTCCCCCTAGCTTCCCCTTACTCCCCTAAATATAGTAAAATCTTACTTGAATTCCAGTCTGCAGCTGCTGGCTCTGTCCCTGATCTGCCTGCTTGACAGACATCATCAGCAGTGTTGAACAATAGACAATCATAATGCTTTCCCATAGGAAAAGGAGGCAGTTCATGGTCAGAGCTAGCACAAGCCAAACACAGCCCTGGCCAATCAGCATCTCCTCATAGAGATACATTGAATCAATACATCTCTATAAGGGAAAGTTCAGTGTCTGCATGCAGAGGGAGGAGACACTGAATGTCAGTCACACTGTGCAGCACTGCCCCAGGAAGCACCTCTAGCAGCCATATGAGGAGTGGCCATTGGAGTTATCACTAGGCTGTAAGTAAACACTGCATTTTCTCGGAAAAAAACCCTGAAGGGACTGACTATACTCACCAGAACAAATGCAATAAGCTGTAGTTGTTCTGGTGACTAAACCTACTGGCAGATTCTTACTGGAATAGAGATTTTTAAAAGATGGACAAAAGCCTTCAAAGTCCCTAACTGCTAAACTGACACCCTTTCAGGATTATTTACTAAAGTCAGAATTCAATGTGAATTTAAAGTTTAAGACTAGAGCAGCCAAACTGAAGTCATAAGTGACTTGGATATTTTTTTTATAGTTTGACTATTTGACCTTAAATTTGAAATTCACTTTTGATTCTCACTTTAGTGAATAGTCCTCTGCATAGGAACACAAAATAATAAAAAAAAATGGGCCTTCTTCTCAATGGCCTACGATTATATAGACAACAGGAAGAGCATTACCGATCGAAGAAAGTGGCCAGCAGGCGTCTTAATAGGACCTTGTGCTTTACACCTGCGCAGAGGTGACAATTCATCAACTGGCCGCGGGTGATGTAAACACCAGAGCCTAAAGCAAGTCAGAAAGAAATGTGGTAAATACAACAAACAATCTTAGGAGTTGACATGTATTTACATAAAAGTAATCAGAAATGATAAATTAATCATTAATTAAGCTATTTCAAAAAATTACATTTTAATTGCACGTTATTAATAAGTCACATGTAATTTCTCAGAAGAACCCCAACCCGTAAAATTAAAGTGTCCCTCTTTGTCTATTTGAAATGTCGGGAGATATGCTCGAATATTTATTTTAGATCTAAATCTATTGTTGTTGAGGTATACCATTTTCATGACATTAACCAATAAATCACAAGTAGAAATGCCCAAAGTGCCCAAAGACACCTTACAAGGACTTTCCTCGCTGAATCCTCCATGCTGGAACCTTTCTTCTCCCAGTAACCAGACGACACAAAGTTCTGGGAGTACAAGCTGGAATACTTTAATCTGGCCAGGTGGCCTGCTTTTATACATTTATGGACACCGTCAAACCATCCCATGACAAACCCAAAACAGGGTAATCCCTCCCCTGTGCCTGGGAGATAATTGAGTCAGGAACTGTACAGACTCAATTATCTCCAGGTACAGAAAACATAAAATGTATAAAACACCCCAAAATATACATAAAATACACGAAAACCCCACAAAAGTTACATCCCCTGATAGACCCAATCTAAGTGACCAACATGTCCAAAATTCACCCAGTTCGGTTCAGGGGTTCTGGATTTTCATGGAAGTCAATTATTTGACTGACCGTGCACATGGTCCTATGCCCAAAAGAGTTCCATGAAATCAATGCTAACGGTCGGTCTAGTGTGGTAGTTAAAAAACGACCAAACTACCGAACATAGTCAATAGTCTTACCCTGGAGCTTGTTCACTTTCTTTGTGCACTTTTGTGGCACGGATAGAGTAAAACTGATGTGACATGGAAGCTCCACAGGAAAGCACTGATTCAATGTTTTCCCATGAGAAAGTGAATACATGCGCGGCACACACTGTGCATGCGCATTCCATCCTCATTGCGATTGGACATTGACGGAGGAGGCCATGCCTTTTCCATAATGGCGCGGGAGGCGGAGAGGTGAATAGTGTTGGGGAGTCTCGGCACAGGAAAAAGGGAAGAAAAACTTTACTATTTTAGAATTTTTATTGCTAACAAGGTGGGGGATACCCATTTCTGACTATGGACAGGTTTGTATTCCTAGTGCTTTAGTGTTTTTTTAAACATCACAGAGTTAAATCTAAAAGGTGCATAGGACACAGTTGAGCTGCAAAACGCATCATTCTTGAGTGGTCAAACCCCTCCCAAAAATATGTACATTAACTCTGTAGTTTATTTACATTAACATTTAACTAACTGGCTAGGTTTCTGTTGGAAGGCAATTTCTGGCTGCAGGTTGGACCCACTGTTAAAAATTGCTTATTGCAAAAAGTGTTCTTCATAAGCCTGAAACCTTTACCTTCATCATCTTTCATTTTTAACCCTCTGAGTACCAAGAATGTCTGCAAAAGCAAGTGCGTTGCCTGGCAAGCAAAGGGTGATAACTAATCTCATTAGAACGATGGAGATGAGTTTCCACCCCATTAAGAAAGAAAGGAGACGGGGTGGGGGATGTTTGCAGCCATGAAATGTTTCTGAAAGGAACAGACCGTAGTGCTATTACAAATCTCAGTCACCGATAAATCGATGGAATTAAAAAGATGAGAAAAAAAAAATACCATTAAGGCCCTATGGTAGCAGTAGTTTCCTGCCTCCCTCTCCCCCCTCCACCATCCCTCTGTTCTTTACCTTAAATGAACTCCCACACATAGACCAACAGCTCCGAGATTCTGCGGGTATTGATTCTAATTATATTCTGCTGACTGCAGAGAAGCAAAACTCCCGTCCTCTTCAGTAGAGTCAATATGCACATTGAGAGCTGGGGAGGGTGTCTGCATTAGGACACAGGCGCGCCAGATTTCTACTCGCCAGGCCTTACTCTGCATTCTGGGAACACTCCTGGGTAACTTGGAAATAAAAGGGGGGTCCTCTATACGTACGCCCTAGTTATTTTTACTAAACAGTGCATTAATGGTGCGATTTGCTGAGCTCAGGAAATATCTGGTAGCCAGAACAAGCACTGATCTAATTAGCTGATCATCAATAGCACCGTTTACCGACTGCGCAGGTAATACTGATCCATTATTAGCAGCCCATTAGTATCATCAAAACCCAGCCTAACATCTGCAGGAATGCAGAATTTAGAAATCGGAGATGTTCTGTTAGAGAAACATCAGGGCCCCTTTTAGATAATGCAGTTTGCGCTATGCTTTGTCCTGCAATTCCCCCAAATTTCCCCTACCCACCCTCGGCATTGGTGCCCTGCGTCTTCCTTCCTGCTTGCAGAGCCTTCAATGTCTTACTTCCACTTAAAGAGCTTTGTCCTGCCCATATCCTCACTGCAGAGCCATGGGATCCTCATAACACGCATTATGGTGAATCCCTTTTGTAAAATGAAATACGTGGTATATTTTTGGTCATGAAGGGGTTAATAAAATAATACAGAAAGCAATTGAGAAAAGCTGTGCAAGAAAGAGAGAACAAATGCGAGAGAGGGAGAGCATGTACGAATCGGATCAGGGAGAGAAGAATCATCCATTGGGGGGGGTGGGCATTAAAAACCTACAGCTGCCAATGTACCACCGGAACAGTACCCACAGAGCTTACAGCAAGCTGTGAACAGCCCTCCGGCACTCAAGAGGTTAATAGAATCCGCTCACCGGAAGAAAATAATATAAAATTAAATAAACCCGTCTCCTTTCAGCAAAATAAATAAATGTGGCTCTAACACCTGCCAATGGTGATATTAATGCCAAGCAGGGGAGATAAAGCAAGCCGTACATGTATTATGAGATAGAGATATTAATCTAGCTTCGCAGATTGAAAAATGCAAATGGGCCCTATCCACAGGTGTGCGAAGACACAATTTACAGTTGTTCCTCCACTGTGAAAATAACCTGTGTCACATTTAATAGCTCCACATAAAATGTAAACTGCTACAAAATGAATATTCTAGTAGGATAACGAGTGTTGGTATTCTGTATGCTAACAGGCTTTTACAGTGCCCGAGCCATTGTGCTTTGCAAGTAAATTGATTTTGTTGGGAGAGCCGGCATTGCCTAGCTCATCGGGAGACGTTTAGTAAACCTGACAGTCTGAGAGATGCCACTTAAAATATCGAAAAATCGTCACCGGGTGTCGGAGTCTCTCGCCGGTCCAGGCAGGTGATCACCCTGCGCCGTCTCAACGTCTACGTTATTCAATCCCAGATTAATGAATTGATCTTCACGCACGGGGCAATGTAAACATGAATATTAAAAGGGGAGCGGTCATGGATTTTTATTATTATGTTAAAGTATCCTTTTATTTAACCCCTTACGGACACATCTTCTGGAATAAAAGGAAATCATGACGGAATATTTCTGTCATGTGTCCTTAAGGGGTTAACATATGTGTTTGTCACGTGTGAAAAATATAATGAAACTTAGAAATCAACCAGACTGTATTAGACTATTTGAGAACAGTGCACCTTCATCTTAGCTCCCTTTCAATCATTGTTGGAAGCTCCACCCTTTGCACCTGCCAATCAAGCATAGAGAAAGGAGAAAAAAAGCAAACAATGTTTCTCCTTCTCCAATGCATCATGTGCCGTTATTCTGTGCTGGGTCTGAACTGGATTGTGATGTCAATGACTAAATCCTTAATAAACAATTATAATAAAACAAAGCATTGCATAATAAAAAAGGTAAACACGAGTTATAGGTGATTTTTTGAGCTTCACAAAAGTGATGTTCCACCTTTAAAATTGCTAGAGTGTTCTTGGTGACACTTTAGTAACTTGTAACATAAAATAATATACCTATAGATCAATATAGAGATATATCTGAATTATCTAGACAGAATTATTTCAATTAATTAAATTTGGAAATTTCTGCTTCAATACCCTCTTGAGATAAGGACTGTCAGCAAACCTGACCTGCGACAAGTTCCAATTTTTCTCCGGGATCGCCTTCGGAATAAAGTTTGGGATGGCAGCGGTACCCGATCTGACTTATGAGGCTGGCAGGGAGTGCAACCAAGTCACGTCGAATCAGAACACAGGAACGGTTTTCCAAGGAGCCTGGTATCTGATCACCCTTATCCTGGCCAACTGAAACGGAGGGAGAAAGTAGGCAAATTTAGAAGAAATTTTAGAAGCAATTAATATCAGATTTAAAATGAATATAGAATCTTAAAAGTAAATGACAATCAAAAACTGTACATTTGATATGGTAGGGTAGGGCAACGATTAATATAAATGATACAAAGTTGTGCATTCACAGAACTTTAGATAAAAAGATATTCCCCCTTCCAACCTCTCTATCGTTGGTGAGTGAGGGTCAGTTCCCTGCTCTAAGCAGTGCATATCAGACTGATCCACTGATCCAAACAGTTCACCAACTGCTGTCTGTAGAATATGCTATAAACACAGCAGCTCACACTGGAGGGTACAATTAACCACCACTACAATATCTTTTACAGTGAAGGGATACGGACATTAAAATGTAACTGCAGTCTGTAGAATACTCAGGGAACCCAGCAGCTCACACTGGAAAGAGGGCAATTAGCCAATAACCCCAGCGCCTCCACAGGTAATGCAACGTACCTCAATACATACCGCCCAACTCTGGCATCCTAAGAACCGGAATGTCGGTGGGAGGGAAGTAAAGGAGGTGGACCAGTGACACAAAATAGGGTGGGTCTGCCGGAGTTAATAGCAGGTCAGCTTGGAGTGAATGCTTCCATCACTCAGGCCGGCCCACCGAGGGCCCTAAAGATAGCGCAAGCACGCCTTATGATGTGCTTGTGCTATGATTTTTGGGGACAGTTCCCTAGTGTCCCAAAAATCGTGACTGAACCGCCGCATTCAGGATGGTTAGGAGTTATGTTAATATACACTGCAACATTACAAAAAAACTTTTCTTGATCACTCCCCTCTACATTACATGTCAAAGGAATAAACTGATTTTATGACTTAAATATACTATAACTAAAACGCAATGCGACATGAGCCGGGGTTTAACAATTATCCATATCCATTTAAAAACCATATAACGTCAGAACAATAATTACTGACACTTGAACCAGATTCTACACTTTCGTTATGTTTACTTTGATTATTACAGCAAGACGTGTGAGTAATGGCTTTGAGTGAAATAATATCCATAATGTCCCCTAGTTAAGATGCCGAGTATCTTCATACTGTAAATCACAATTTCTACATGGAACGCAGAAGATATTTTTACAGCATTTGCGACATAACATTTTGTTTTCAAGGAATGTAAATTGTTGGGTAAACAAACCCAAGCAATTTTTGAAGGCGCCGTAGAGGAAAGCAAGAAAACCTTACCCTACGCTGTGAATTCCGGAGTTGTGGTTTTTTTTTCTGATAAATGATTAAATACAGAAAAATTGGGAATAACAGATGAGCGTATTTTGTAATTTTTTTTTGACAGAGTGATATGTTATTACAGTGAAGTTCCATATAGGCGATCAGCATTAATATGTTTATGGTTTAATTTGAATAATTCTCCAACGATAACTTGGTAAGGACTACAGAACCTGCAGCAGATGGAAAGTCACATCTGTAAGACACATTTGTGATTTGCAAACCTATTGTCATCTCATATGATATGGTTATGAAATGGTGATCCATAAACAAATGGGCTCTTATTCCAGAAAATCTGAGTTAAGTTGCAGACCTGAATGAAGTGCATATTGATTGCTTTCAGTTCTTTTAGTGTTAAAAATACCCGAATGATGTACTAATGGCTGAGCACCTTTCAGACCCCCAGATCTACCTTGATGTTGAATCTCCATTTTCTACAAGATAAAGCTTTTCTCAAGCTGAATAACGTGGGTGAACTGGAAATAGAGTTTGTAGTGGACTTCTGAGCTTCCCAAAGGAAATCAAGGATTTTTGTAGTCAACACCCAGGGAGATAATTTTAAGTTTAGGGTTATCATCTAATGAGTCTGGCTTGTCCCAACTCATAGCACAGTTTTAGCGCCCTCTGCAGAGTGCTTGTGTACTGAACATCGTGCGAGTGCATCTAATGATGTGCTTATGGTATGCTTTTTTGGGATAGTTCTCTCCAGGATGAGGAGCTGGGATGGTTGCACAAGACCCTAAAGTTGGGACTGTTTCACTAAAATCAGGATGGTTGGAAAGCTTGCTTTAAAACTTGTGCCAGACTCATCCTTACCACTTCATTCATATAGAGAAAAACTAAAAACTGAATTAGAAACATGGAGGCAAAAAGTGATTTGGAAAAATCTCCAATTCCACTACAATCACAGCTTGACTATTTTAGCCTTAAATTTGACATTTTATTTTCAGTTCACTACAATTGTGTGTCTAGTGAATAAACAGTAAGTGCGTGCAGGAGTAAAGTGTCAAAAGGTGGAATAATTACCACGGAAACCAATGGAATGTTTGTGCCGATTGCTCCACTTTTACACCTTTGACCAACTTTTCAAATACAAGACGTGGCAGAAGTGACACGTGGCAAAGATTGCCACTGTAGAGGTCATCGAAAGCCACGTTTTACTCTAGAACTCCAATAGCTGGCAGAAGATCAAGGAGACTTCAGGGGTGCCCACAAGGTATATCCCCAGATGTTGTAGTACTACAACTCCCATGATGCTTTGCAAGTCTTTGTAATGACCAAGCATCATGGAAACTGTAGTTTTAAAACATCTGGTGATCTACTTTTTGAGCACCCCTGGTCTACATAATCAGAAGTTAAACATATGAGCCATCAAAAGTGCAAACTATTAAATATGAAAGAAGAATTCGGAGTACCAGACAGGATTCTGGGACTATCCCCCTCTGGTGTACAAAGGGTTAGATTTGTTCCCTTTCCATGTGTTTTACTATTCCTATTCTTTATCACGTCAGGGCAGGGTATTTATGGGCCTAAGACTAGCTGCCAACGTTTACACATACCATATACACATAAACCATCCCAAAATAAGCATGTTTGATGGCAGCATGGAACAAAAGATCGAAAGATCACCTAGAGATATTGCTGTCTTCACAGGGCTGAACGTAGCATCAACAGATATTAATTTCTGCAGACGGAACTGTCATACAAGGCAGAGTACAAAGCGAAGCACTAACAAGAGGGTTAGATTTAAAGCCCATCATCATCTTGTGTTCTCAACAACTGGACTTCCCGGGGTGATGCTATTCTTCTACAGCAAGATCCAAATGCTCTTTGGAACTGATTGGGTCAGAATCGCCTGTACTGGGAGTCTGGCACCCTGGGCTGTATCCGAAATCTTGGAGCCCCCAACCAAACAATTGGCCAGGTCCCCCCCTTGTACCTGATCTAGACCCAGACACACACACAAATAGGCGATCACGTACAGATACATACTCCCAACACACACCTCTGGCTGCTCAATACATATTTTACATTATGTTATAACCACCCAAAACTTAATCTTGCATTCCCACACAGCATCCTAAAAGTATCTGGCTGAAGTGAGATGGCATCTCATCTTCCCTGCCCAGCAGCAAGTGCAAAGTGACATCTCATGCTGTTACAGCATGTTCCAATGCAGCTGCTCAAAGCATTACAGTGCAATGTAGACAGTACTCCCCCCCCATACTTTGCTTGGCCCATTACCAAAGTGCGGTCTACATCTTCCTAATTGCAGCCCTGCTGCCACCTACAGCAATGAATTAGTGGGGTACCTAGGGTAGCCGAAATTAGAGGATTTATTAATCACAGCAGCCCCCTAGTTTTACATTGATTATATTTTTTTCCCCAAGAATATTGAGGTTGTGGTTTCTCTAAATGAGTGCATCGTCAATACAATACGCCCCACCCACCTATCACGGGACATCGAAACCTTCTGCCACATAGTTGCATGTAAAGAATAGGATGGATAACTAGGTTATCAAATGGCGTGAAAGAGTTAAAGGTTACAATAAGCAAAAGGACGTCCGTCCCCCTATTTTTGTTCTATCACCAGTAGAAATACTACAAAAACATTCAGACAACATAGTAAGAGCCCTGATGAGTATGCAAAATTAACAAAAAAAACATATGCAACAGCTAGCCTTTTTGATGGCACAATACTTAAAGGACCACTCTAGGCACCCAGACCACTTCAGCTTAATGAAGTGGTCTGGGTGCCAGGTACCTCTAGGATTAACCCTTTTTTTTTATAAACATAGCAGTTTCAGAGAAACTGCTATGTTTATACTGAGGGTTAATCCAGCCTCCAGAGCCTCTAGTGGCTGTCTCATTGACAGCCGCTAGAGGCGCTTGCGTGCTTCTCACTGTGAAAATCACAATGAGAGCACGCAAGCGTCCATAGGAAAGCATTGTAAATGCTTTCCTATGCGACCGGCTGAATGCGCGCGCGGCTCCTGCCGTGCATGCGCATTCAGCCGATGACGTCGCGAGCAAGGAGGAGAGGAGGAGTACAGCTCCCCGCCCGGCGCTGGAGAAAGGTAAGTGTTTAGCCCCTTCCTCTCTCCAGAGCCCGGCGGGAGGGGGTCCCTGAGGGTGGGGGCACCCTCAGGGCACTATAGTGCCAGGAAAACGAGTATGTTTTCCTGGCACTATAGTGGTTCTTTAAAAGCATTACGTGGCTCTATAAAACAAAACTAATCTCTAACATGTTGTTTCCTTTAAAGTTATTTTTTAAAACCTAAACGGTTAAACTGTCATAGGGTCCACTTACGATGGTGAAATAAAAAGTTTAGCCATTTGCTATTGGGGTGGGGAGGTGATCCCTTAGCCCTGCCCCCCAACCTATGCTCACAGGGGAAGGTGTGCAGATCAAAGAAGGTTGGAAAGTTGCAAATGGGGATGATCATTACTGGAAAATAGGATGTAGTCCACGATGTTCCTGTACGTTTCACGGGGATAGAAATTTACAGCTCCCTCGTAAGTGGCCCTCGTCTGTTCTTTTTTAGACCTGGGCAGGTCACAAGTTTGCCAGGTTTATAAATACTCGTATTTCAGCAGCTCCTTAGATCTCGTGGAAAAAAAGTGAAACATCTGCCAGTATACGTGTGCAATTAAACATCTTCGCTAGTGTTTACCCATTCCCATCCAGAGTGACCCACAAACGCACTGGGGTTATTGCAGGATAGATTACAGAAACCCTTTCCCGACTGAAGAAAATGTGACAATATAAAGGGAGAGGTTAATGGAACGAAGCGTAAAGAAAATGGGGAACAATTGAGTCTGGGTAATAATTGTAAGGAAAAAAAAAATGAATATGACTCTGAATTAAAGGACGTAGCGGTATGCCTACGGTTGGCTGACTCTTGTCCCTAATGATATTAGATTACATTCTCATAATTCTCTGCTAGTTAACGGTGTGGTGGGATAACAGAGACAAGCGAAGCAGAAAGTTAAAATGGGATTCCAAAGAAAATTGTGTCAAATGCAGCTGGCTAAGTTATACTACTTTGGAAATCATTGGGTAAATTAACTTTTTGAGAATTTTGTATTTTGCCCTGTGCATCCACTTCTATTAAATTAGCTGTGCTACCTATCCTATTTATTTGCATCCATTCTTTGTGCCCAATGGAAGCATCCTACAGGCAACAGAATGTTATGGGATATGTTGCCTTTGCCTGTCAGAGACTACACAGCCCATAATTTACTGCCTTCCAATGAAAAGGCAGGCTAATGGAAACATGCTAGGAAAGGCAGATGGATTACTGTAGGATCTGGTAGACTTAGAGTTGTGGATAAAAGGCATTTTGCACAGTCTGTTGCTCTTCATAATTCATTTTCTGCACTTTCAGAGTGTAATGGTGTTGTGGAGAGAGGCACTGAGGCTAGTGGTGTTGTGCATGTCTCTGCGGCAGTGGCTTTGCAGCAGTTCCAGTCTGAGTTTCTTCACCAGATAATTTGCAAATCTCAGACTTCAAAAATACAATCTCCTGCCGCAAGATAGAGAACTGTCTACAGATTAGACAACAACCAAACCTCCAAAAACTGGAACGTGAAACAAATGCATAGCAATTGTTACACTGAACTAAACCTGCCATTCCAATTATAAGAATAATATAAATTGAACAAATCTTAACTTTTTTATTTATCCTCCTGAATACCTCAGATTACCTCCAGGTTATCTCCAGAATATCTCCAACGACACACTTAGAAACAGCACTTGGAAGTAGCACCAAGCTATATTAGACAAGCTAATGGAACCAGGCCTTATATAACTCCTAAAATCACCGCCCACTAGATCATCATCCAACAAATATTAGAAAGGTTAATTTCTCAGTATGTACCATTGGGAAATAAATATAAAAGAAACAAATTGAAACCAATGTGGCTTAGTGGGAAAGTGAATTGAGAAATTATAAATAAGAAAAGGGCATTCAAAGCCTTTAAATCTGTCAAATCAGATGCATCCTATAAAAGATATAAGGAAGCCAATAATGTGTGAAAAAGGCGATTGATTGGATCCGCTAAACCTGAAAATGAAAAAAAAACGATAGTCAAAGAGAGCAAAACCAACCCCAAAGCGTTTAAGTACATAAATTCAAAAAAAAATAAAAAATGAAAGTGTAGGTACACTAAAAACCGGGATTGGCATGTTAGTTAATGAAGACCAGGAAAATGCAGAAATGTTAAATAACTATTTCTCCTCCGTATCTATTAAGGAAGAACCTATGGCAAGAGATATGCAAATGATTGCTGCAAAAGACATGCAGAAAAATTGTAATTGAATAACTCAAGACAAGGTGCTGCAGCAACTAAAGAAAGTTAATATAAACAAAGCTCCAGTGCCTGATGGTATTCATCCACAAGTACTTAAGGAACTAAGTGTGGAAATAATTGAACCTCTGTTTTTAATCTTTCAATATTCTTTTCTTTCAGGAAGTGTTCCGGAGGTTTGGAGGAAGGCGGATGTTGTTCCTATATTCAAAAAGGGTTCACAATCCTTGCCTGGAAATTATAGACCTGTGAGCTTAAATTTTGTGGCTGGGAAAGTATTTGAAATGTTATTAAGGGATAATATTCAAGAATTCCTTGAGAAGAATATGGTTATCAGCAAAAATCAGCATGATTTTATGAAGCACAGGTCGTGTCAAACTAACCTAATTGCATTCTACGAAGAAGTAAGTAGAAGTATAGATCAGAGTGTTGCAGTGGATGTGATCTATTTGGATTTTGCCAAGGCGTTTGATACAGTTCGACACAATAGATTAGTGTTCAAACTCAAAGAAATTGGTCTAGATGAAAATTCTTGTTCTTGGGTAGAACATTGGCTTAAAGATAGAGTACAGAGAGGTGGCAAGTGGTGTCCCTCAGGGTTCAGTGTTTATAAGTGATCTTAAAAAAAGCATTGAAAGTCATGTTTCAGTGTTTGCAGATAACACAAAACTCTGTAAAGTAATACAATGTGAGCAAGATATTACTTTGCTGTAGAGGGATTTGGATAGACTGGGGGACTGGGCACTAAAATGGCAGATGAAATTTAATGTAGAAAAATGCAAAGTTATGCACTTCGGCGTAAAGAATGCACAAGCAACGTATAGCCTTAATGGAAGCGAATTAGGGATAACAACACATGAGAAGGACTTGGGAATTGTCATAGACAACAAACTATGCAACAATGTGCAATGTCAATCAGCAGTGGCTTAGGCCAGTAAGGTATTGTCATGCATGAAAAAGGGCATTCATTCTCGGGACGAAAATCACTGGTAAGACCACATATTGAATATGCTGTGCAATTTTGGGCACCTGTTCTAAAGAAGGATATTATGGTACAAGAAAGAGTGCAGGGGCGGGCTACAAATGTAATAAAAGGAATGGAACATTTTAGCTATGAAGAAAGGTTAACAAATCTAAACTTCTTTAGTTTAGAAAAACTTCGCCACAGAGGGGATATGGTAACATTATACAAATATATTTGAGGCCAATACAAACCATTGTGTGGAAATCTATTCACAAACAGGACTTTACATAGGACACAAGGTCATGTGTTTAGACTGGAAGAAAGAAGATTTAGTCTAAAGGAAAGGACATTTTTTTTTATACAGTAAGAACAATAATGATATGGAATTCCCAGCCTGAAGAAGTGTTTTTTTCAGAGTTTGTACAGATGTTTAAACAGCGACTAGATGCATACTTGGAAGAACAGAATATTTAAAGATAATTTTTCAATGTAGGGTAATAGCTTCTTGATCCAAGGAGATATCTCACTGCCATTCTGGGTTCAAGAGGGATTTTTTCCCCCTAGTTTGTTGCAAAACTGGAAGTGCTTAAAACTGGGGTTTTTTTGGCCTTCTTTTGGATCAACCACAAAAAACAAATGTGAGGAAGGCTGAACTTGATGGACACGTGTCTCTTTTCAGCCTATGTAACTAACTATGTAAGGAGACCGGATGTGACACAAAAAGAAGAGCAAGACAAGGGACGGTGGGTGTATTATCAGTCTTTAGGGTGGCCGGACTTGATGCTTTGCTAGAGAGGGTAAATGGCATCGAGAAGAGTCAAACAGTAGATAAGCCAGGCCAAGTAAGGGATACCAGAGAGCTGACGGTCAAAAACACAAAAAATGAAAATAAAAATAAAATACAAATAAAGAACGTATTATTGGGATCACAAGGACACCACAGGGTAATGAGTGCAGGCTTGTGAGGGGTCTATATAGCTATAACCAGTCGTGGATTTAGCACCCAGAATGTACATATTAACATACGCGATAATGAGGCCGGTTTGGCTCCATCAGCAAAATGACGACAGATTGCCACACATGGCCACAGGTACCTTTACAGAGACAGGGAACGGGGGCTGGATGGGAAGGGGAGGGACAGGGAACAGGGACTGGATGGAAAGGGGGCACAGAAAGGAGAGGGACGGGGAATGGATGGAAAGGGGACACAGGAAGGGGAGGGACAAGGAAAGGGGACTGGATGGAACTGGGACACAGGAAGGGGAGGGACAAGGAACGGGGACTGGATGGAAATGGGGCACAGGAAGGGGAGGGACAGAGAACGGGGACTGGATGGAAATGGGACACAGGAAGGGGAGGGACAAGGAACGGGGACTGGATGGAAAGGGGGCACAGGAAGGAGAGGGACAGGGAACGGGGACTGGATGGAAAGGGGGCACAGGAAGGGGAGGGACATGGGAAGGGGTCAAAGGAAGGAAAGGGCAGGAAAAGGGAACTGGATGGAAAGGGGACACAGGAAGGAGAGGGACAGGGAAAGGGGGCTGGATGTAAAGGGGGCACAGGAAGGAGAGGGACAGGGAAGGGGTCAAAGGAAGGAAAGGGCAGGAAAAGGGGACTGGATGGAAAGGGGACACAGGAAGGAGAGGGACAGGATGAAAAGGGAGAGGGCATTGGCACATGAAGGAGAGGAATAGGGAAAGGGATGCAGGAAGGAAAGGGAAAGGGCACATGAAGGAGAGGGCAGGAAAAAGGGACTGGATGGAAAGGCACACAGGAAGGAAGAGACTGGATGGAAAGGGACACAAGAAGTAGAAGGGGGCAGGGAAGGTGGGGGGGAAGAAAGGGAAAGGGAACAAACAAAAAGGGAAATGAATCCTGGCTGGGGGAAAACAAAAAAGAAAATTAACAGAGACGAAAGGTAAAACAAAGTGATGGATGAGGAAGGGAGAATACAATCAAACCATGTACATGGAGTGATTAGCAATGGAATTTTCCACCAGGGATGTGATGAGTAAGAGGAGCTAGCAGACGACTAACACTTATGCTATTTCATACACACGATAATGCAGGAGGGAGGGGGAGAGACCGAGCAATGTTTCCCTTACTGACTGGTAACTGTTTCTAGCTGGTAGAAGATGTTGGCATTGTACCAGGAAAGTTAGAAGCGACATGTTATGTAAAGATTTTATAGAAAGATAAGAGGGCAAAGGAAGAGATAAAACGGGCATGGCAGGAAAGAAACGAGAAAGCATCGGACGTCACCCCAGCTTGTCTGCACTGGCAATCGAAGAGTTAAAGCCCCCTCCCCAGCACAGACACAACTTACTAATAACAATTTATAGAACTAAAATGTAATTTAGAACAAGAACAATGTATCTTATTTACACAGACTGATTTCTAAACACATTTATTTTAGTTTAAAGACACATTACTGGGAGTATTATTGCTGTGGAGCTCTGTTATACATTCAGACACATTACTGGGAGTATTATTGCTGTGGAGCTCTGTTATACACACAGACACACCAACAATACGGAGCTCCTAGAAAAGAGGGCTATTAGGAGAGACAAGAGGGATAGAGGGACTTTGGCCCAAAATAGGGACTGTCCCTCCTAAATTGGGACACTTGGGAGACAACAGCCCCTTGGCTTCATGACATATATATCCAAAGAGTTATCACCACCTTTTCACAGACACACAACGATTAAACTTCCTCCAAAGTCTATCAGGGGGTGCTCAAAAGTAATGAAACATAACCAGTTCCATTCCACTGACACTCATAGGGTTAAAGGCCACTCCGGCTCCCACACAGATAGTGTACGGCATGTTAACCGGTCCGGTCTGCAAACCCAGGGCCATGCCAATGCCAGACAAGGACTTAACTAAAGCCGGTAGTGATCGACCAGCATCTAATCTTTGTTTATTTACCCACAAGGTGCCTGTGTTCAGGGTTTAGCCAAGTGGCATTTTGTGCACATAGTTCAAACACAGAAACTCCAAGGACACGGCTTTTTGGAAACAATAAGCTTATTGTATCCTATAGAAAGCCAATCTTGGGCCAGATCCAAAACTGGTAGCTGTCAGGTTTCTCGTATCGGTCAGCGATACGGCAAACAAGCCAGGACTCTACCGTTGGAAGCAGTTAGGCAAACCAAACAGCAAGTCGTCAGACCCCACCAGGGGAACGCCAAATAAAGCTAAATTAATCTTCAATAAAGATATAGCCTTTTTTTTTTTGATCTTGAATAAACAGCCTGACATGTTCCGTGTACAAGTACTTTGTCACAGATTCCCACTCGGCCTATCTGCAAATAAAGAGAGGGAACAAGGGTTGACATGGCTCCCATAAAACAGTTCCAAAAACCTGCATTGGAGGGAAACTGAAACTACATTATCAAATACTTCTTAAAGAACACGACCAGAAAAAAAAAAATGTTTAAACCTACAACTCCTTGCCACCCTTTGCTCTCTTCATTATTTTAACTATTCTAGAAATATGGGCCTTAAGAATCCTTAACTACCAGAATCGCTCTCTGTGGACAAAACATGGTTATTCTGAAAAGAGTGAATTCTTGGGAAATCAAAGTAGATATGAAGTGAATTTCAACCATTTGTCTGCACTAGTCCAATCCGAGTTTTCAGTTTATTTTGAATTACCAACAATTCAGTCTTTACTGGATAACCCCGGTCAACTTGTCATCTGGCCTAGTAAACGTTTGTGCCTGATCTTGATTAGTAGCATTTATTTATACATTGTGCTTGCTTAATCTCAGGAAAACCTATTGAATAAGTCTTTGAGGATATAACTGTCCTACAGGCAAGACAGGAAAAGTGCCACCATTCAGTATGTAGGATTCATATGCTACATGGCAGAAATTTCTTTCATTTTTTAACACTTGCCTTTATGATGTCTACCAATTCTGCAGGACTGCCGATCTGTACATTTACTACTGCAATGTTCTGGTAAAAAAAAAAAATATATATATTAAAAAGGTTTCCTGACATTGCCCCTAAACTTCGCTTAATCTTTATCAGTCTCTCCATCTTTGAAATACAATTTTTCTACAGAAAACCTACCCTTTTTATTTCAATATGATGGCAATGTGATGAAACAGACAGAATGGGATCTCTAGCAGATGTAAGAATCTAAGAGAAACTTTGTTGCCCCCTCTTCATGTTCTATATCTTGCCAGCTGGGCGAGATTACTCAGTGCATCATATACGGTAGAACTAGCTACATCTTCAATATATTTGTGTCTAATCCAGTATTTCTCACCCTAGTCTTGCAGGACACACCAACAGTTTAGGACTGAGGCATCTCCCAAGTCTTTGATGAAAGTTGGGCTCTTGGTGTGCCTTGAGGACCAAGTCAGGGACCACTCGCCTAGACTGACCCTGTCCAGAATTTAACACATAATATGCCAGATATTAGTAATATTTTGTCCCATAAATATCCCTACAAGATGATGAATTTCAACAAGAGACACAGTGAGTTTGGAAAAATTATTGATCAATCCACCAATACAAGGTCAACGAATAAGAAAAAAAAAAACACACACAAAAACAACGTATCTTCATGCAGATTATTTCAGATATCCTGAAAGGGATCATGGATCAAAATGCCATTAGACAACACACCATAGTAAAAGATCTTTGGATATTTGAATCTTCATTGCAAACATTTAAAGTTTGCACTGTCCTATTTATGTACACGCACCAGATGGATTTGAAATCACTTAACTCAAGACTTGGCATATCCTGGGAACACAACAGCCATGTTTAATACATGTCCACGTTGGTCTAGCTAATACCCAAGTTTTTTGAAGAATTATATAGGAAATGCTAAGCACATTACGTACTGCATCCCTGATAAACCATGTTCTGTCCCAGCTATGTCCGCCTGGGTCCTAAATTCTACAAATATTTTTCATCCAGAGAAATTAATTTCTTAAGTTTATCTTGAAAGCCTCCTTATATTACATTGCAGTACGCAAGAGATTTGATCATTTATTCATTAACTTACTTTTTTTTAAACAAATTGTATGGCCCATACATACAGAGGCTTATTCACTAAACAGGGGGTTGTGGACAACAGACAAGTGAATTGCAAATGTAACCACAAAATAGCTGAGCTGATATTCTCAAAACTATGCTTCCAGGCTCTGCTATTTGGCCCTAAAATGTCAAATACCTGTGTAAACTCTCCTTAAATAAAGAACAAACGAATATGCTTGATCATCAAAAAGGTTGATTACCACAAATTTCATTTTCTTAAAGGGACAATCTGCACCACAACTGCAACACGTTGATATAGTGGTTGGTGTATACACACACACACACACTACATGGACAAAATATTGGGGCACACATCTTAAATATTGAATTCAGGTGTTTCAACCAGACCCATTGCCAGCGTATAAAATCAAGCACCTAGCCATGCAGTCTGCATTTACAAAGAGGTGTGCCCAGTGCACAACGCAACGTCCATAAAGACATGGTTGGATGAGTTTGGTGTGGAAGACCGGCCCGCACAAAGCCCTGACCTCAACCCAATCAAACACCTCTGGGATGAACTGGAACGGAGATTGTGAGCCAGGTCTTCTCGTCCGACATCAGCACCTGACCTCACAAATCCTCTACTGGATAAGTGGGCCAAAATGACCACAGAAACACTCCAAAATCTTGTGAAAAGCCTTCCCAGAGAGTGGAAGCGGCTATAGCTGAAAGGGTGGACCATCTACATATTAATATCTATGTATTTAGAATGGGATGTTATAAAAGTCCCTGTTGGTGTTATGGTCAAGTGTTTGTGTTATGGTCAATACTTTTAATGAAACAAGCCATAATACTCAACAAATCACTTGGATCCCATGGGGGTTACACAAGAGACATGAATAACATTAGGAAACCAAAACCATAGCTTAATTTAACTGCAAGGGTTGATGTTGGAATGGAGACAGGGAAGACGATCTGTATAAATACTAATCTAAGACAATACAGCATTTACTCTGTGCCTGGGAAATGTTACCGATAAATATTGAAATTGGTTTAAAAATATCCTTATTTTAATCTTATCCATGATTGGAAAAACAGCCCACAACATATATACACATTGCTCTATACATACAGCTTATAAAATCAACACATAATGAGTTAACGTGTACACACGGCTTATTAAATCACTGTTTAATGGGTTCATGCGTACACACGGCTTATTAAACCACTGTATAATGGGTTAATGCGTACACACGGCTTATTAAACCATTGTATAATGGGTTCATGTGTACACACGGCTTATTAAACCACTGTATAATGGGTTCATGCATACACACGGCTTATTAAACCACTGTATAATGGGTTAATGCGTACACACGGCTTATTAAATATGGTATAATGGGTTAAAGTGTACACACGGCTTATTAAACCACGGTATAATGGGTTAATGCGTACACACGGCTTATTAAATATGGTATAATGGGTTAATGCGTACACACGGCTTATTAAATATGGTATAATGGGTTAAAGTGTACACACGGCTTATTAAACCACGGTATAATGGGTTAATGCGTACACACGGCTTATTAAATATGGTATAATGGGTTAATGCGTACACACGGCTAAAGTGTACACACGGCTTATTAAACCACGGTATAATGGGTTAATGCGTACACCCGGCTTATTAAACCTCTGTATAATGGTTTAATGTGTACACACGGCTCATTAAACCACTGTATAATGGGTTAATGCGTACACACGGCTTATTAAATATAGTGTAAAGGGTTAATGCGTACATACGGCTTATTAAACCAATGTATAACGGGTTAAAGTGTACACCCGGCTTATTAAATCAACACATAATGGGTTAATGCGTACACACAGCTTATTAAACCACTGTATAATGGGTTAATGCGTACACACTGCTTATTAAACCACTGTATATTGGGTTAATGCGAACACACTGCTTATTAAATACGATATAATGGGTTATGATTACACATGGCTTATTATATATGGTATAATGGGTTAATGCGTACACATGGCTTATTAAACCACTGTATATTGGGTTAATGTGTACACACTGCTTATTAAATATGGTATAATGGGTTAATGCGTACACATGGCTTATTATATATGGTATAATGGCTTATCAGATATGGTGTAATGGGTTAAAGTGTACACATGGCTTATTATATAAAGTATAAGTTAAACTTTACACAGCTTATTAAATATATTGGGTTAATGTGTACACATGGTTTATTAAATATGGTATATTGGGTTAATGTGTACACATGGCATATTAAATACGGTATATTGGGTTAATATGTACACATGGCATATTAAATACGGTATATTGGGTTAATGTGTATGCACAACATTAAATATAGTATAATAGGTTAAAGTGTACACACAGCTTATTCAATTACTGCATAAGGTGTTAAAAACGTAATGCACAGCTTATTAAATACAGTATTATGGGTAACGTGTGACATGGCTTAAATCACTGTATTTGGGTAACGGGTGACATGATGCAATGAAAATTATGAACAAAAACATGACATTTTAGCTACAAACGATTTGGGGGTTAATTTACAGAGGAAGAAATTGTGGCGATTTGCAATGGGCATTGTAAAATAGAGGCCAAAGTAGCAGAACATATTAGGCTTGGTATTAAAGGTTTACTCTGAACACTATAACCACTTCAGTGATTTGAAGTGGTCATGGTGTGTGGAGTCTGTATGTGCAGCGTTTCGTTCTGAAATGCTGCACATACAGAGTTTAAACTCACTGACGCCACAGGTAGAACTCCACCTCCTGCAGCGCCATTGGAGCACCAATAGTCAGTCTGGAACAGGAAGTGGCTAATATTAATTCTGTGCAGGTTTGGCACTGGTTATCAGCACGCACAGTATGCAGGTGACAGACAACCAATAAAAGCATGCTGCGCCCCACCCCTCGTGTGCTACCCATATCCTCCCCTCAGCCCAGCGGAATTGTAGCCAAGTTCTGCCTATTGCAGGCCTCCCAACCATACAGATTTAGTCATTACAGTCCTGATTTCAGGATTTCACTGTCCTGACTTTGTTCACTGATGTCCTGCGTTTGGTGACCCCAGGGAACTGTCCCCAAAATGTGTAGCCCAAGCAAATCATTAGACGTGCTTGCACCATGCTCAGCGCTGAAACACTGCTCTCTGCATTTCCCGCCATCAGTGGGCTGGCCTGGATGATTGACAGGTAGCCTGCCGTGCATTCACATCAGGTTGACCAGCCAATACTCTTGCTAGACCCGCCCCGTTTCCTGGTGGGCCTCCCTTCTCCGGGTGGCGCTAGTAATGAGATTCACATTAATAGCAGCCCCCATTATTCCCCACCTACCAGCATCTGATGTTGGGGGCATGCTACAACAGATATTCGCATCATTTTTGCCATTCAGAATTTAGCTAATAAGCCACTGAGAGTTTTATTTAATAAACAGGGAATAGTGGAAAACTGACCAGAAAATACAGATTTTAGGCCAAAAAACTTCAGTTGGATATTTGTACATTTTGGTCTAACATTTGCAGTTCTCTTGTCAGTTGCACAGATTTCCCAGTTTAATTTCTAAAATCCCTGTTAACTCAGCATGCACTATGCCCCAGGCAAGAGCTTCAATAAGCGCTTCACATAGCTATATTTGAAATCCCAAAGTAGGATTGGGTACCTGAATAGCCCCCTGTAGACTTGATATACATCTGTCCATAATGGTCTTCTACCATTGTGTCATACGCTTCATCATCTTCCTCATCCTCTTCATTGTGGTATGAAGTAGGGCTGTCAGTGGTGGGAATACTGCTTGCACCGGGGCTTGTCCGCTCCCCCTGAGTGTACGGAACTTGTTGAACATTGGGGAAGAGGGCGGCCAAACTAGACATTCCGTAGTAGGGTACACGGGACAGTTTTGGTGGAACCGGGGTGGACATGGACCCTCCTGTGCTGTCTCTATTCTGAGCATCCACCGACCTCTTGATCTGCACGTTGGGGACGGCTACTGGCTGTAGCTCCAGACTCTCATTTTTCACCCGGGTTAAAAGAGGTATTGGCATAGCAGGGGACATGACGCAGGGCACCGAAGCAGCCTGGGTCTGGTTGCAGGGACTTTGTGGCTCCGAACTGGTATCTTCGATCATGGTAGTCTGAGAATCACAATGCGGCGAGCTCACTTTGAACATCAGGTCCGTACCTCTCTCTACGATGTGCTGGATTTGAAGAAATCCTGCCGTGTACATGACCACAAGCTGTTCGCTCGCCGCCATGGTCAGTTTTCCAGTGTAACAAAATGAAAGGATTTGCTGAAAACATGCTGGGGGGACAGTGGATGGCAGCTCAAAGGCGCTTTTGCTGTTCCCGCTAAATAAATCTCTGAAGTACAAACTACTGGCGGCCAGGACTGCGCGGTGAGCCTTGAAGGCTTGCCCCTTCACCAGTATGGAGACATCACAGTAAAGTCCCATGAGCCTTTGCTCATTCAGGCATCCCAGCACGGTGTTCCCAAAATTGGGAATTTCTATGTGTAGCATTTGTGACATGACTGGGAAATTCTTGCAGGTTCTTTAGACATTCAACAAAGATCTCTTCGGCAGTTCACATCTGTAAAAAAAAAAGAGAGAAGCATCTTTAAATTAAAATACACGGGGCAAATCATGGGGTTCATTAAAATGCTTCTTTGTTAGATGACGCAAGGCTGAATAACGTATTTATATTTTGGGATGGAGGGATGTATGGATAACAGTAGACCTAGTGTGACCAGCCGTTAGTTTTACAGAGGTGAAGCTACAACTCCCAGGAAACTTTGCCAGCCATAGCATGAAAGGGTGAAGGTTTTACCCAGCATCTCTGCCTGAAGTAGACAATCACAATCTTTTCTCCCCCCCAAAAAAATGTGGTAAACAGATGGCCAAGTTGTAGATTTTTTATTTTAGCTATTCTGGTCTAAAATGTGCAATTTCTTTGTCAGATCTTCAAAATTCCCATTTAAAAACTAAGCCTCATAGATCGGGCTGTCCCAGTTGGCCCATTTGAAATGAGACGGAAATTCCATGCCGATTTTATTTTTCTTTAAGACTATTTCCATTGGACGGCTGCTTCAGGTGTTTATAACCTTTGTACATCACGGTTAAACTTTACTGCCTCCACTGGAAGGCTATTCCAGGTATCTACTACCCTTTCTATGTCATTACTAGCCTTTACATCTTCCACTGGAAGGCTACTCCAGGTATCTACAACTCTTCCTTCTTACTCAGCCTTTTTATTTTCACAGCAAGCTATGTTCAAGGTACCTATGTCACAGATGCAGGTGATACTAGCTCTATATAAATAACTATAACCGTGTAGTTTGTTAGATTATATCTCAGAGAATCACTGTCCAACATTGAAATTTTTAACATCCCATGCCAGCACGGACTCCTCCAATTCTAAATGTTTTTCCTAGGTTTTCAAATTAATATGGAATCTGCTCTATTTGAAAATCCCACATTAAATTAAACTCAGAGACGATGCATTCAAAACAATATCATGCTATGAGTTATAAAAGTGAAGAGATACTGCAATTGTAGAATTGTAGAATTTATTCCCTAAACAGTTTGTGATGACTTAGAAACAAAACTGCAAAAAGTAGACTAAAATAGCCGAGCTCGGAAAAAGCGAGGATTTGGAGAATTCTTCAGACTCAGCTATTTAGAACTTCATTTTGTAACTCTGCTTTTAGATCTTCAAAAACCCCATATGTCTCGTTATCATGTCTCGAACATGCAATATGTTAAGGGTTTGAAGATTGTATTAGCACTCATCAATTCAGCATTGAATCATCCTTACTCACTACCAAAGAATGGGAAGAGAGAGTACTATGGAACATTGTGAAGCAAAACTGGTATTAATCTGATTACAAACACGGGGTGAGAGACAACAGGATGCCACCTCTGTACCACTTAACCCTTGGATTTCCCAAATAGATCCTTAGGCCAATATAATCAACTTGGGGGGTGGGGGGGAATTGTCCAGTGCACCTCTCCCCCCCTCCACCCCAATGTGGCCATTTAGGCCAAGAATTCTCATTGCTTTCCTTGGGTCCATAATTCCCAGTGAATAACTGACAACAAAATTAGTCTAAAAAAAGCTGATTTGGGAAAAAGCTCACTTATGATCTCCTGCCCACACTATTTATATAAATAAATCTCTGGATGTTTGACTTCGAGGTTATCATCACACGTCTGGGATTACAAAGTTGATTTGGAATCATGTGCCTGAGATCATGTCTCCATATCGTAGATGTTTTCATACTTCGGACTTATCAGTAGGGGTTTCTTAGACTTTTAAAACTAAAGAAATAAAGTGTAGTTCCACTTAAAACGTCAAAAGGAAATTTTGTACTGCAGACCAGCATTAAGAAAATAAATGTTTTCAGGCCGGTAAGGTGGTCAAAATGTCCAAACCAAAAATAAAACCAAAAAAAAGAGCAAAGGTTTTGGGCAAGACAAAGATTTCTTCTCCAAAGTTATGCTCAGTCCCGAAGAAGGCATTTCAGAGGAAATGTTGGCAAATCCATCCATTGTAAGATTTCTGCAATTCCACAATTCTCTGCCCATTCCTTTCCATCGCCATTTAGTTTTTCTCCATGTAGTTAAGTGTACTATCGTGGGCCATCACGGGTACGTACCGAAAGCCACTGACTATCCCACCCCAAAAAAATAATTCCTGATAACTAATTTATAAAAATTATCAGAGGAAGAACCTTACTTTGGCTTTGTTCAGGGTATGAAAACAGGGAAAGAGACCCGACAAACATTCTACACTGGGCCTGCTGAAATAAAACAAATTGCTCAAATGTTGGATTTTCTTTAAAAATCTAAAAATGCTCCCTTTTAGAATTTTAAAGGTGGGGGTGATATTGCATGTCTAAGCAAGTGGAGAAACCATCATTCTAATTACAAAGTAAAAAAAACAAAAAAACCCCAATACTAATTATCCCTTTTCTGGGAGTTAATGGGTTACAAATGGTTTTTAAAAAGGTACTGCTTAGAGAGAACAAGGAGGAGCCTGGATAGAACAGCAAAGTTTGTAAGGTTTGGTGCCCCTGTGGTTGACAGAGGGTTAAATTATCTTGATCCGTCTTTCAATCCATGCTTTAGGTGTTTACAGTAAACACAGACTGATATCTTAATGAGGTCTTTAATGTGATGATTTTACAAGAGCACTTTAATTGGCACTTGAGGTATACTAAAAAAAACAAAAACAAAAAAACAGGATAACTTCAGATAATAAAAATATGAGCATTATTAAAAAAAAATATCACCACTTATCTTCTTTGATTGAAGAAAAAACAGGTCCCAGTAAACGGACATCTTTTGTAAAACTGGACGTCCCAAAGCTCTTATAGCCCCCCTCAACCCCCAACAAAAAATGAAAAATAATTTGCCAATTACCCTGTGCCCGATCATGTGTTAAATTATCTTGGCAGACACCCGAACACATGAACAGATTGGCGAATACCATGAGACATACCCACCAGCAGTACTCACAAAATACAGAGGAAAAGAAAAACCACAAATAAACATTTGGGAATTAAATATCTCCCGAAATGTTCTTACCCCCTCAACTCAGAACACATTCTACATTGTTTGGGGGGTGTTTTTAACCCAGACATGTTGTGATTTTAGAGATCACTGTTTACAGAATTGCATAGATTACAAAAAAAACTAAACTTTTGATTTATGAACTCAACATTTTTCTCATCGGCCAAAAAAGAGCAGCCTTTAACTCCTTCATTGAAAGCCTGGTTATCGAAGTACTGGCTCTCCTGGAATGAAAGATTTAAATTGGGAAACAGCATTAACCCTATCAGTACCATAAGAGGTGAACATGATTTGCTCACCCTTTGAGTGCTACAGGGGGTTAAAAAGTGGCAAGGAGGGGGGTGATATAAAGCCAGAGAAAGATCAGAATTTTACTCACATGAATCCGACTTTATTGCCAATGATCCCTCCTGAATCTTTCAGATTGAAAAAGCAGAATTCAAACTATCAGCATTGAGGTAGTCCGGCCAAATAGATTGCAGAAAAAACCTGGAATCACCCAAAAATAAGATTTCCCCAAAAACTGATTCTAACTGTGTAACGGGGGCATAACGTCCCTAATGTGGCCAGTGACCCGACTCATAGAATTCATCTGAAAGAAATATGTCAAGCTTGCCAGGACGGACGACAAGAGCCAACCTCACTTGCGTGGAATCTGTCGATTTATGTGGCACACTGCTGCTGTTTGAGATGATCTGAATGGGTATTACAGCTTACAGAACATGCTGCAATGCGAACGGTGCATTCTAAATTTTTAATACCCGCTGGGAGGGGTAAATGAGCACCTCTGTACTTCTATCGGGAGACTTCTATGATCTTCACTCCGTGAAGATTTAAAAAAAAAAAAAGGGGGGGAAGAAAAAGAGTTGACAAAGTGCATAGATGCTTTCTCAAGTCAGACACCAGCCCATTAATGCATGCGCCCCCCCGCCTTCCTTCTCCAGCCTGACACTGTCTGGCTCTAAAGCAATGGTTACAGCAGAGAGACTAGAAGGAAAAAACTCACACTGAGAAAAAAAAAACTCACATAGAGAAAAAAAAACAAAAAAACTCCAATATCCTCAGACGTGTGATGGTTTTGCATGAAATTATATTTTCAGCAGGCTATACCAGGACAATATCCCAACTCTATAAGCCATTAAAAAGGTTAGCACCAAGGCATTTCTTTTTAATTCTCTTATTTCTTTTTCAAATTAAAAAGTGAAAGTGAGGGGTGCCCTCTTCTCTCAGGTATCGGGGATGTAATTATTATTTTATTATTTATTTATGTAGCGCCAGCAAATTCCACACATCAGGGGTTAATGCAAAGAACCAGTTAACACAAAATAAATAAATGCAATATAAACGCGCAAAATAAAAAAAATCCAACTCATTACCATTTTGGTGATGCCACCAGATCTGCTTTGAACAACCCAGGGGATCGTCGATTAAATAAACAAAATGAAAAGCTGTTAAGATTGACACCGAAAATGACTGTGAAATAACATATTGTGCTGGGGATAAAAAGAATTTCAAGTGCTGAACGCGTCGAGTCAGGGAATATATGCAGTTGGCGGTGAGCTTGAGTAGAATGAAAGAGGTGAGACAGGGTGATACAGACACACATGCAGACAGAGAGAAAGGGAGGGGGGGAATTCTGTCCGTCGCATCTGCAAAGAAACCTCTTCGCAACTGTGAACTTGTGCGTCGTCCGTCAAGTGCCAACGTACCTTTAAAATATAAAACAATTCGAACTGATCCCAAGTATTTGTAAAGGTCGGAGAAAATCCTTCTATCGATCCTCTTTGGTTCCTTAACAAAACGAAGACAAAAAAAATATATATATATATAAACAACAACAAAACAAAAGCAAGAAAAGGTATGGGGGAAAAAAAAGCACACCGTATCAAAAAGAGACGGTATTTTTTTTTGTTTTTTTGGAAAGGCTTTTAGCAAGTCAAAATCTCCACGCCAGTGCAAAGCATGTAAATGAATGGACCGGATGCAGATTAACATTCAGCCTGTTCTCAGCAATGAATAGAGCCCTTTGATTAGAGACTTGAAGTAAATGCCAGTTTTAGGCAGAGGGAGATCGGTGACAGAAGAATGCTCCTCAGTGTTGGTACAAGACAGACTTCTGATGAGTCATTGCAATGCAAACAAAGATGGCAGCAGAACTGTACTGTATGCTGATGGAGTGCTTAGTGGTGCCACGGCAACCGAGACCGGTTAGAAATTTATAGCGCAGTTTTGCATATGAATGACACTGTAAACTGCTTTGCCTGCCATGCAGTCCACAGTGTCAAAGCATTTAAACTATTCCAAACAGTCTGCAGACCTGGCAGGGAGAGCGTTTAACTCCTCCAGTGGGAAGGAGGGGGGAAGCAGTGAGGTTCTGGATCAGGTCCAAATTACTGTTACACTGTTACAGTGCTTGCTGTCATCAAACAGTTTGGAAGAATCTGAAGTTCGTAGAAGGATGGAGTCAACTCCAACACACCACACAAACCAGAGGCAGACGACAGGTGGCTCACCAGCTGTTGTAGAACTACAGTTCCCATGATGCTTTGCCCGCAACCTGCAGGGCTAACCAGAGCCATCTATAATATTAATAGGACCCTGGGCAAAGCATTTTTTGGGCCCCCTGTACTCTGCCCCCCCACCAGCCGCCACTCCCTGGCGTGCAATCATACATTTCACCCTGACGCAGTGGGGGAACTAAAGTAGAGAGGTGCAAGACATACATATACACTGACAGATATACTGATACATACACACACAGACAAACTGACATACATATATTCACTGACAGATATACTGATACATACACGCACAAACATCCTGACAGACAGACATACTGACACACACTGACACACACAATTTACACTTTTAACCTACCTCCCGTTTCTAACCTTGAAGGGTGCCTTCCCTGGTGTCCAGAGTGGTGGCTGAGGCTGTTGTGAGTTAGGGGTGCGGCCGTCACTTCCTCCGAGCGCTGCCGAAACGTTTGGGGCCGGTCGCGCTGTTAAAGGGCTACAGCGCGAGACAAGGCTCCTGCTTACAAAGGCCCACCAGGTGGCTGTTAGTGCATGGGCTACCCAGTGGGCCTTCTTAGTGTGCGTGTCCCTGGCTGAACCGGGGGGCCCATGGGCGAAAAAATAAATAGTAGAGGGCAGTAGGGCCCACGGAGCAGCTACTTTGGGACCCCCTGAGTAACTGGCAGCTGCCCCGTTTGCCCCGCGTTAAAGACGGCCCTGGGGCTAACCCCCCCCCCCGGCCCCTAGTGGACGGACACTTGCCACAGATATCTGCAGCACTGACTGTTCAACTCTTTCAAGGCAGGGGTAATGCGCAAATCTTGAAGTATTAGACAGGAAACCGAACGTTACTTTGTATTCTACATTTAAAGGTTTGCAGGATACAGCGATTGGCTGGCTAGGCTTTCATCTCGGCCAGTAGGAGTTGTATAGAAGCGCACTTGGCCTAAATTTCTTATCATCTTTAATTCTATGGAACATAAACATACAGAGGCAAGGCTGGGGAAGCAACGATCTTTGCGAAAGTCAAACATATTGGCGTTTTTGGTTTTTACTAAACTAGAAATTTTGGAGAACAGAGAGTGGGGAAATGCAAATTTTAGTCTAAAGGAACAGAACTGGAAGAAGTCTCTAACTAGCCCATTTGGCTGCTATGGTCTATAATGTGTTAGTTCTCTTATGGATTATCCAGAGTTATGAGTTTAGTGAATAAATCCATATATTTACAAAGGCTTCTATCTCTTTCCACGCCGTTTACTAGGGGTTATTTAGATCTCATCTAGAAATACAGATGCAGACGCCCTTAAAGAACCACTAGATTCACCTGGCCACTTCATTTTAATAGGTGATCTGGCTTCAGTGGTCTTGTAATTGTAACACTTCAATGTAAAACCCTGCCGTCTTGCTGCAAAATGTAGCTTTTCTCATCAGAAGCATTGGATTAGACAAGGTCGCAGAAGTCGTCAGCAGGTATGAGCCTCTGCAGCAGAGGAGTCTCGGCACTCGAAACGAGGTGAGTAATCTTTAGTCAACTTTATTTTTTATCAGCAAAGGGCGGTGGACAGTGGTTATAGTGATAGAAAGGAACCTATTGTCTCACCAAAAAAGACTTATTTTCAGGACTATAAGTTCCCATTAACAGAAGCTGCCGCCTATAAATCTGTAGAATCTACAAATATATACAAAATCATTGTACTAAGGAATGTCAAATCTCCCACATCCTGGAGTGCTGCAGAGGTAAGTGTGTTTTATACCAACCTCCACTGCTCTCCTAAACCCAGTAAGTGCTCCCCAAGTTTTTAAGGGAGAGGCGAGCAGTCATTGATCAGAAATTAACACGTCACAAAAACAAAAAACAAATAGCAAATTTATGATACAGTGTCCAGGTTATCTGGGTCTCATCCTAAACATTTTCACATCAATTCATCACAATTTACTGTTTAATGAATAAACCCCTTATTCAAAAAAGTTAAATTAAAAAAAAACCACACTAATAGTAATGTATGAGCCTCCCTCCTGTGAGGATAATTTCCTTGCCTTTCTCATTGAAGGGGACTATTGAATTTCTAATTGTCTGTAGTCTCTGAAAATTACCCCAGAGCCATAAAAAAAAATTTTTTTTTAAATCACTGTGTCTCTGGGACGCCCGACGTTACCTCTGGCAGAGGGGTGAAAGCCAGCGTAAATTAAGTGATATAAAATAAATGTTTACATTGTTAAAGCATGAATTAAGATAATTATTAAGACTTCTGCAAAACCTGCTGTGATAGTCGGATGCTGGTTTTTTTTTTTATTGTTAAAGCGAGGGTGGTTTGATCAAAAACATTACTTGCTTCAAATAAATCAAAAGCAACGGACTGTCTCCATAACCGAGTAAAACTGTTCTGCAGTCAAATGCTGCAGTTACGCAGAAACACAGCGTTTTGCGCTCTCCAACGCAATTTCTGTGAGTAGCACTGGATTGGACGAGATTGTAGGTGATGGTACAGTAGGCTACAGCAGAGAAATAAGTGGAAATAAGGTGAGTAATATTTATTTTGATTCATTTTTACAGGGAAAAGGGGGTGAACAGTGAGCACATTACAAAAAGGGTGCCAATATAACCATTGTTATTTTTGGTACTCTAGATTCTCTCTAAGGAGACATTTTTTTGGTGTCCTGAGAAAAGTCTCGGATGGTGGTAAGGGACCAAAAATCATGACTTTCTTACCAAATCAAGACTATTGGTAAGTATTGTAAATGTAACTGGCTGTAATTGACCAAGATCAGGGTGCTCGCGTCAGGTGGGCTGGATGCCATCAATCCTCTAATCGAATAAAAAGCATAATCCACAAAAAGATGATGGCATCATCTGAATAGCCTACAAATAGAATTTATTAGCACATTAGGGTATGAAAAGTACAAAAGCGACATTTTGGATCAACAGAGTCTCAGCCACACACATTGCATATACAGGAACAGTGCTATGCCAGCTAAGCAGTGCTGATTTGAGAGTCCTGTCCCACCTTCACGACTGTTCCCTGGTGGTCCGCTTTTGAAGGTATCAAGGAATGATCCCCAAAAAAGCATAGCATGAGCACATCATTAGACTCTCTTGCGCTACGCTAAGGGGACTAGGACCCTACAGAGAACATTGAAAGAGCGCTCCCCACATGTCCCACCCTCAGTGGGCTTGCCTCTATGGTTGGCAGGCAGCCAGGCTCACATTCACACTAGGCTGACCTGTTGATTGTTGCGGCGGATTTGCCTACTTTCTGGGCAGGTCTGCCCCTTTGGGCTGCATCAGTGATGAGATTAACACCAGTGTCCTGCTTGACAGGACGCCAAAGTTGGAAGGTATGCGTTGTACAATGAGCATTAATAAATACGGCGTCTAGATCATATGAGTCTCAAAATGGTTGAAATCCCCTTCCATATCTCTACAACAAAAGGAAGTTGAGGCCACAAACTCAAAATGGAGGAAAACACAACTCAATGGACCTGAGAACCATTAAGTTGGGTTATAAATAATAAAACCCCTGGACACACTTTGAAACTAGCAGCACATTAAATGTAACTTGTAGGCATTCAGAAGCTGCAGCATTTCTTAAATATGATTTTGTTCTACGTACTTTGGGGTTAATTCACTAAACCAGACATTGTGAAGAGTTCAAAAAGAAATAACTATTTTTTTTACCAAAAATAATATGACAAAAAACAGCTTATTGGGGTTCTCTATCCAATTTGAGTATTGCGGTCTAAAACTTGAATATCCCATGTCAATTAACCAAAGTTCCCAATGTAGTGGGAAAATAACGAAAACACAAAAATAGTCACTATGAAATCTGTACAAGATGTAAAATTATAAAAATGCCAACTTTTATCTAACCAAGCATGTGACTGTGCCAAGTTTTCTTGATGTCTAATAAATTATTTGTATTCATGTCAATTTACGTCAAATAAGTCCATCCTTTTGCTCCCTTCACCAACTGTAAATAATATCCAGGACTTTACCCCCAAGCCCACACTACAAGACCAATGACATTTAGTACGAATATCCACTGAAATCACCACAGGACAAAACTGTACACCACTAAAAGGACTGTATACAATCAGGTGTGGAATAGGAAACCCTATTAACTAAATGTTCCCCGATATTCTGAACCCCGTAGAACATTACTGGAAGAATTATGTTCAAATTTGGAAAGAAAACATATTGTGGAATTTTGACTGTATAAAAGACTTTGTTTTTGAGTTTTTCCAATGTGGTCCTAAATCGCCAAGTCATGTTAGCCAATAAAGATAAGATTTTTTTTACAACATTTTACTAGCACAATACTAAAAACTCTACCTGTTTGAACCACACCATTTTATGAAAATTGTAATTGTTTCAGTTCGTCAACAATATTTATACGTTTTCTACTGTCCCAAAAATACAGATCAGGTGGTGGCTGGAAGCTATTGTGATACTAGGTAGCCAGGGGCGAAAAGCCCATTTTCTAATTATTTCTGATATAATTTTGGCTGGCCAGAGCTATATTAGATCAGTGATTTTATATTTACCTTTGGAACGACAAACCTTGAGGGAAGGTATGTGGAGCTATGTGGCAACAAGTTCTAGCGATATAAGGGGTATCGAGATAATGGAAGTGTGCATGAGGTGTTGGAGAACATTTGGTTACAAGAAGATTAGACAGAGTAAAGATGTATTAAGCGATGGGGGGGGGGACATAAGAGGGAGCAGAGTTAAAGACAGATTAGTATGTCATGATAAGAAGTTTACAGTTGAGTCTTGGATGGGATGGACAGCTGTTGAAGGACTTTGCAGTAGAGTGGGGCAGAAGGTCACCAGTAGAAAGGGAAGGAAAGGTGAAGAAAATAAGCTGATGGAATAGTTTTGGAAGTTAGCTCAGTAATCAGAACACGGGATGGGGAGTGAATTGAAATTTTAGACGTAACTTAAGTAAAATATATATATTTTTTAAATCACGGTAAAGAGATGGAATATCAGAATCAGAAAGGGGAGACAATGCTTGCTAGGACTGGTTGTCAATGGGGAGGAATTGGGAAGCAGTGAGATGATCCGTTCAGGTTTAGAGTGTTTATGTTTCAGATAGTGATTGGACATCAATTAGGAGATGGTAAGCAGGAAAGCAGTGATATAGAAAGCCAGGAGGGTGGAAGATCTTGAGGTTAGACTTACACTGGTGTAGAATCACCTAAACTGTGTTAATAATAAGATTGCTACCAACGGACTCCCCTAGAATAATAATTACACTCTCGCTACTGTATAATTCCACATTTTTGAATGTGGCCCCAATTCCTTCCTGTATTTTGAGTAAAGACCAGGAGCAAACGTCAAGCTACCACTTTGCCATTCCCCAAATTATGTGGTTGGTCAAACTCCTTTCAGCATAAAAACTGAAACGTTAAAGCTCTTAATTAAACATATAAAATACAAAAATTAAACCTATAGAGATTCAGACATAACACTGTGAAAAAATAACTTTTAAATCAACCGTTGAGTGACAAGGTGTTTGGGGAGGTGTGGGGGGGGTGATTACTGCCATGCACATTTACATAGCCAAACTGATATGTAGAGCTGGCCAATTATTTTCCAAACACCCGTGTATTATTCATGGTTTAAACTGGCTGCACATATGCATAATAATCCAAACATATTCTTTATATTTTGCTCAGGTTTTCAGAAGAAGCAAAGGGGAGAGAAAACGTGGCGGGCTGAAGAACACAGGTCAACAAACAGGACTTTTTGTGGAGTACTGCACACTTGGGAGTTGTGCTTTCCCCAATTATCGTACACCTACTAATAGTAGATCCAAACGGAGAGAGAGAGAGCACATGGTTAAAAAGGGAACCTGTGCTACATTCGGTACTCACATACGTGTTAATCTTTTCTTTCAGTGAAAGGGAAGAGTCACTCTGCGCTGTATTAAACATCAGTTATCTGTGCCAAGGAAAAACAAACAGGTGGGCTGAAGGGAGTGATGCCTTTCTCTAGGCCATCATTGTAAAAATCCAGAAATAAATTGCACAGTGTGTAGAATCTCGGGCATATGGTTCTTCTTCAAAAGCAACGTTGGATCCTCCTTATGACATTACGATGGCAGGTATGTACCTGTCTTGGCTTAAAAAATTTTTTTAAAAAAAATTATAACTCAGTGAGACTGGGCTGTCTGACTGCAGGGAGCATTGTTAAAATTTTCACAGCTGGAGACGACAATGTGCAGAAACCAGTTACTTGCAAATGTTTAATATGTGTGAATGTGTCGGGCAGGCGTATACAAGGCTCCTGAAGCGGTTGTTATACTGTTTAAATATTTGCACAGCAGATATAACTAAACATGCTCTCTTGTATGTAAACCCGAGTCCGTTCAGCATTTCCCTGTACTATTTCTGTCCGTGAGCAGTAGGATATATAGAGTCACAAAAACCGGCGTTGTCTGTCAGTAGGGATCCCGGTAGCCAAGATCATTTACAGGTGGGTATTTACCAAGAGGAGTGTTAAAGCAGTTTATACACCAGTCAACGTAATAATTAAAGAATTATGCACAGACACGCACATGGTTAAGAATCTTCATCTTTCAAATCCCAGAAATGTAAAAAGCTAAATCCGTAGCCTTCTTCATAAATGTAAAAACTCCTTTTATAATAGCCAAAAGAAGCGACCCTATCATGGCTTTGTAAAGTCTTCACATGGACTCGAAAAAAGGGTAGAAACATTGCCAGGTCACTTGGGGTCGCAATAATAAAAGGCATTTTAAATTTACATACATGGCTATGGATTTAGATTTTTAAATGTTTATATTATTAATAATAATAATATAGGCAGACACACTGGAAGACAAAAACCTAACATTAGAAAAATATTTTTTGCCAGGGATACCTTGGTCAGGAGAGGTCAGCTCACGGGTTCCAATTAAAATTGACCTAGATCGGTTGTAATACAATAAAGCTATTAGGTATCCCAGTACCTGAATGGCAGCAGAAGGGGGAGACACTGTCAAAATTGAGAGAACAGCAATGGAAACAATATTTTCTTCTGGTAGTGGATGGCCAAACACAACACACATTTTTTTCCCTCTGTTTTGTGAATGAGGAGCTACTGGTAGGCCAAAAGAGTCAGCAGGGTCCTGTCCGGGTGCTGGACTGAAGACTTTGGGTTTTCACCGTTTGTTAGCAGTTTAACCCCAGAAGGTAAGCCAGTGCCATGACCTCCTTGCACCATCGGAAAAAAGTTGTTCTGGTGTGAGGAGTTTATGAAGTTGTTATGGAGCCCGCAGTGTTTCTTTAAACTAATTCGACCAAAATTCTGAACATGGCATTCGTGGGATGAGCATACGCCTGGAGGGGACTTGTGTCAGCGTCTTTGTGACCACGTACGATAACACAAGCATGACGGCTAATCTCTCATTAGTAAACACGTCGAATAGTGCTACTAATAATGTATCTTTTTACTGTAAAATCACCACTTGTTATTGTTTGAAACTTGAAGTGCCTACATATACCACAAGACATATTGGGGGAGATTTAGCAAGGCAAAAGGTGCTCTTCTGAGGCAAATTGCCAAGTAAAGAGCAGTCACCACGGAAACCAACAGAATGTCTCTGAACAGTTAGCACTTTGCACCTTTTTTTGCCTTGATAAATCTCCCCCATAATATAAATTCATGTCCCCTATCCTGGCCACGCGGCGGCCCTTGTGGGAGGGGTGATTGCGAATGGTAGCTGCTGATTGGCTGCTGGATTTCATTTGCAAACAGCGCAGGGATTTATTAACTAAACTCCAAACTGTATTGAACTGAGATGGATTTACAAAATAAGCAGTGTCTATAGCGGTGAGAATTTTTCCAAATCAACTATACTGGCCCTTCGTTTCGCAGTTTTTTTTTTAAACACACGACAATTCGGTGTTCAGTGAATGAACCTCACAACGTGCACTAAAAAGGTCTCCGTGCAAATGTCACACGCGAGCCAGACTTTGGCGCACAAAGCATAGGTCAAATACGAATACTTATCCGAAATGACCTCAGTCACATCACGAAAATGCACCTAAATCTTGGCAACTAAACATCTATATGTGGCATTTACCCATTGTATAAGCAGGCAACTTAAAGACACAATATAAATATATGTTACACCTGAAAAACGTAATTTTAATTGTAACAGCATTCTCCACCACAAGTAAATGATGAAAGAAAAACAGATTTTTGTAAAAACCCTTGCTGTAGCCAGCAACGAAATATATCAAACAGGGACAAGCTATTTGGGGGATGTTAATTACGTTCACTGTGCGTATTCACAAACGTTGCTTCTACAGACAAAAACGCAGTCGGCAAGCAGTGAGAGGCTCGTACGAGCACACGGCGAACACTGGAACAGACATGTCCCCAAGCCTTGGACTGTCTGTGTCATACTGCAGGCGTCAAACCTCTCCCAGCTCAGAAAGAGAGCAGCGCTGCTCTGTGGCATATTAACAAGTTAGCCCCAGTCCTAGCAATCCAGTCATCGAAAATCACAGGGGGGGTCGGGGGAATATACACTCCCCTGGGAGGGTGGGGGGGCTGCATCCATCCTCTCTAGAAAGCCAAAACTATAGGACACTCACAGGCAGTTTTAGGCTGGGATAGTCATACAGACTCCTAAACTTAAACATAACCACAGATGCTGCAGAACCTCTTGGAAGATTGTCAGGTCTGACAATCACAAAGAGGGGTTTGTTTTGTTTTTTTTAAATGAAGAAAAGAAAGGAAAATGAAAAATAAATCTTGGAATGACCAATGCCTCTGCTTCCCAAAAGTAGCTTTGGGTGTTAATGATGCTGCCTATAATTAAGAAAATAAAGTCAATATCATTCCAGCCCACAGTGGAGTGGGGGAATTGTCTCCCAAGTTATTCTGTAAGCCAATCTGAAACACTGAGCATCCTGCGGCTGCTATCTATCAACCTGAGGAGGGACTCCAACTCCCAGCCTTTAGCTGGCTGAGCCTGCTGAGAGCTGCAGTGCTCGATCCCTGCCTACACTCGCCTACCACTAAAAACAAGTGGCGCAGACGGCAAACTCCACCTAATAGCCAGCATGCAGTCTTCTTCACTTTCCAACATCACATGCTTGGATCCAGAATATGTCTTCTCAGACATCAGATCCACAGCAGAGGAAAACCTAATCCCTTCCTGACGCTTTCCCTAAATTACACTCCAGAGCAAATGCTCCTTCCACACAGACACACACACAGACACCACGCACAGACACACACAAACACCAAGCCATGGAGAGGAGTCTGTCCTCTGTGAATGGCAGCTGTTCTAAAGAGTCACTTTCTAACAGGGCTTGGTGCCCCCACATTTAGGGTGTGCCACTCCTCCCCCCTCCCCAATAAGTAAAGACAAAACAAAAAAACAACAAAAAGCCAAGAGAATCTTGCAAAGCACCAGGCGCACCTCATTTGCTCTGTTCATTACCCGCTATGGAGGAGCTGTCTGTCTGTGTGTGTTTTCTCTCCCTCCGTCTTGTACAAGTTAGTCTGTGAGTCAGCATTAACACACACACAAGAACATCAAGAAAGCTCTGCTGAGCTCGATGCAACGGAGGCTGAAAAAAAAAAAAAAAAAAAGTGCATTCTGTTGGACTCGCGCCCTGCGCTGTAATTCAATTGCCTCTACTTTACAATTACTGCATAGACTTCTGGTAGCCCCAGGCATGGAAGCTCGAATCGCTGCTTAACTCTCTATTCCTGAGCTCATAAAGACACAAGTGCATGGCAATCTCCCGGGGGACACTGGGCCAAGTCCTGACAGTCTGGGCAGGGAGCATGTTCCTACCTGGACACAGGAGACACAGTAACGGTCACTGAGCGACACACCTGTGTTTCAGAACATCTTAGAGTCAACATATATGTGGAAGAGTATTGATTGGACTACAGAGCTACATTTTAACCCTTTCATAGCTCTAGGTGGATACCAAATGACATAATTAACATCCATGCAAGTAAACATAATTCAAACTCTCAGGGGCTGTAGGGATCGCCTTTTACTATGAAGCAAAGCTACGTGTTTGTGGACTACAATTCCCAATATGCACGTCTAGCCATTTTGAGCTAGTGCAGGGGGTAGGCAGCCTTCTGCACTTCAGAAGTTATGAACTACATCTTCCATGATGCTTTGCCAGCATTATGGATGCCAAAGGTTGCATACCACCGACCTAGACTGTTTACTATTGGTAAATGCCAATGGGATGGCACTTTATAGGTAGTAATGACTAAGGGCAGGGATAGCCCTGCCTTCGGCACTCTGAAGGTTGCTTACCCCTGATCTAGAGCATCACTCTAGTTTGCCCCAGAGACGGTCAGAATTGATGCCACTAATGGGGAACAAGTCGTGTGAGGTGAAAGAGGGGTAGACTTGTAAAATATTATTTATAGAGCACCAACATATTCAGCAGCGCTGTTCAATGGGTGGAGTAGGCGCACATATAATTAAAAGAGGACAATTTTGGCACACAGGAACAAGAGGTGGTGATGGTCGTGATCAAATGAGCTTAGAGTCTAAAGGGAGTGCGTTATAACTGTATGAAAATGAAAAAAATAATAACATGGTATAATACAGTGACAGGCGGTATTAAAAAACATTTTAGCTGAAGGTATAGATGCAAACAGAGAACAGGGAAGTTCACTGGCATAACGGCAGTACTTGAAAATTGGAGATAAGAACTTGGGGGGGACGGGGCAGGGGTGCAGCTGTAGGAAAGGAACACGATTTACCATTGAAATTGAACGCATACGGAAAGCCAGTGAACGGATTGACAAAGGTGGGGTGGTGAGAGAAATTGTTAAGGAAGATTAGCCTGGCTGCAAAGTATATTACGTACTGTAATGAGGAGGCAAGAAATAAATAATGCGTTCACAAACAAGTGGTTTGGTTGTGTGGTGGAATCTCGGTAAAAATAAATTTAGTAGGCCGAGATTACCACGTGGCATGTGTACGTGCATATGCTGACGTATCGATCAGTTGGTTGCACGAGGCAAGATACGATCAGTAGTGTACGGAGCATGTGCAAGAATACAGGATGTAGTATTCCCCTCCTCCATTGTGCTGGACAAGCCATGCGGTCAAGCAGGAAGTTAATTCTTATTTGTAATGATTGGTCAAGAGAATGTGCGGGTGGAGCTTAATATGGGAGGAGTTATGTGCCTATATAGGGAGCCTGCACTATTGTTCAGGGCTCAGAACTTGCTGTATTTTTGGTGACATTAGTCCCTCTGAGTCCCGATCGGTGATCCAATAAAGAATCTCTTCCTTCCTGAAGAAACCTGTGTCCATCCCTCTGTGCTTTGCTTCCGTCAGTTTCTCCGGTATCATTTGGTGCATTGGCCGGGAAGCTCATCGTTCAACGGTAGCTGAGAGGCAGAGGCGTGAGACGGTCTATCTTTGCCCACGTTCTCTACGGCTGCACCCCTGAACTTCTGCGTGGACCTCCCTTCGTCTCGGCGCCACTGGTCTGTTGTCCAGGAGATCATCGGCCTCTACGTAAGAAGTGCTGGGGTGTCCCCGTCGATGAGTGTGAACTCAGGTTCAGGAACGAGGAGGTAAGACAACTGCTGTTTTAGACGGCAGACCCACTAGGGGTATACCGATTGTGCGGTAGGCCCAAAAGGGGTTTAAATCTGTGTATGGAATCTGCCCCCTCTGTCGGAGGGAAGGAGCGAAGGCGCACCGCTCGATCGAACGCTCTTTAGTAAGACCGTTTGATCTGGTTAGTCAGGCGGGGTCCTGTGTAAATAGCCCTAGCCGGACACCGGTGTCTTGTCTAGACTAGCGTTCTAGGGTGTATATTACGTTCGCTAGGTCGGAGGGACCGGGAGACTAAGCGGCGCCTGTGTAAATTCGGTTCGCTAGCTCTCAACCTATCTTGGCTAAGTGGGAAGGCGTGTAAATTTGGAACCCACTAGACTTTTGATAGAGTAAATAGACTAGAAGGGCAATTTTGTAAATTTCGCCCTCTAGTTCGCTATATGTGGTGTTTGGGCAGTGTGGCTAACCAAAACGGGTGTATATAGTTTTAGGTAGTCCATTCAAGGTACTGGCCAATAGTTTAGTTGGGATTGTAAATGTGTTAAAGATTGTTAGTAAAGTGTATATCTTGTTAGATAGCGCGAGCTCAGCCGTCTAGCGAGAGTGTTAATAGTGTGTTGCTGTATCATAGTGCACGGTACCATAACCCTGTATATTTACTGACACTGTATATAAGTACTAATCATTGTCGTCTATTGCATGTTTAACACCGTAACCACTAATAATTGTATTGTGACCTTAAATTGTGCTTTGACCTATGCTAACCGTACTGTAACCGATACTAGTAAAAGACGATGTTACTGGGGTGTGTTATAGACGGGTAATTCATATATAGAGAATTATAGCGTGGGTGACTGTATAGTTTCGCCAAAGGGCATAATATTGATTATTTAGTGACTGGTGTAACAGCTGTGTGTGTACGGGAATTCCCTGAGTGATTATTGTGTTATTGTGTACGTTTCACTCGGTAACTGTACCACGTGGTGCTGTTGCCAGAGGAAACGGGTGTGACTGTTGAATAAGAACGCGTGCATAGTATTCGTTGTCAACGACGTTCCATTGATAAGTATGGGCGCGTCAGAGTCAACGATTTCGGATCCCTTAGGTTGTATGGTAAAGAATTTTAAAAAGGGATTCAAAACATGTGATTTTGGGGTTAAAATGTCTCCTGTACGTTTGGTCACTTTGTGCACTAGGGAGTGGCCTATTTTGGTTGCGGCATGGCCGCCGCGTGGCAGTTTGGATCCAACCCTGGTACAGCGTGTACACGTGGCTGTATCAGGTAGGCCTGAACTTTACGGACAGTTTCCATACATTGATTGTTGGAGGCAGGCCGTAAACGACTCGCCAAAATGGATCCGGATATGCCACGAGGAGCAATGTCGCCTCATGGTGGCCAGGACTTATTTGTCCACTAGGACCGGTGTTAGGCCCATTTTGGACACGCCCCCTGAGTCCGAGATCCCTTTGCCGCCCCCTTACTTCCCTTTAAGAGGAAGTGACGCGAATGCAGGAAGTTCTGCACCCCTTCCCCTATTGCCCCCATCCACTTCCGCTTCCTCCTCCAGTACAGAATCCACCCCCCCTCGTATTAAAACTCCCCTTCCTGAACCAGGACCAACCCCCATTAGATCTGAATATCCTGATTTGGCGCCACTTCAAACTTCCGGTCAAGCTTCTTCTAGCTCGGCTCGGAGTATACTATTCACTAATTTTTCACAAAATCAAGTTCCCACATCCTCATGCCCTATTACCTCTCGACCGGAACCTTTAACTGACGCCCCTCCACGTAGTCCCATACTAACCCGACAACTGACCGGTACCCAACAATTAAAACATTACCAGATGCCTCTTCGTCTGAATCCTGGGTCAGCCTATATCGATGCCGCAGGTCAAATGGCACATGCTGACCCAGTCTTTGTATATGTCCCGTTCACGACTACCGATCTCTTGAATTGGAAGACCCACAATTCCTCGTACACTGAGAAACCACAAGCTATGACCGATCTGTTCACCTCGATAGTTCAGACACATAACCCGACATGGGCTGATTGCCAGCAGTTATTAATGACATTGTTCAATAATGAGGAAAGGACAAGGATTAACCAAGCGGCCATTAAGGCGCTAGAGGAGAGAGCCCGTGCTTTAAATCAAGCCAATCCGGCAGCATGGGCCGCAACACATTACCCTAACACCGATCCTGACTGGAATGTAAATGGCGCAGATATGGCTCAACTTAAAGCCTATAGAGATGCTATAATTGCTGGCATGAAAGCCGGAGGGAAGAAAGCTATTAACATGTCGAAGACAGTTGAGGTGATTCAGAAAAGTGATGAAGCGCCCAGTGTCTTTTATGACCGATTACTGGAGGCATACCGCTTGTATACCCCCTTTAATCCGGAAGACGCTGATAATTCCCGAATGGTAAACTCCGCCTTTGTCAGCCAAGCTTACGGAGATATTAAGCGCAAGCTACAGAAATTAGAAGGGTTTGCAGGTATGTCTATCACCCAACTAATGGAGGTAGCGAACAAAGTATATATGAATAGGGAAACAGAAAGTAAGAAAGAGGAAGAGCGCAAGATGCGTAGAAAGGCAGATATGCTAGCGGTAGCGATCGCAGGCGTAGATAGACGGGGCCCAGATAGAGGCGATGGTAGATGGAATAGGGAGCCTTTGAGTAGGAATCAGTGCGCGTACTGTAAGGAAGAAGGGCATTGGAGGAACGAGTGTCCGCAAAGAGAGCAGTATGAGAGAGACTTACCCAGGGCAGGTTACGGAAACTTTAGAGGCAGAGCGAGAGGTAGAGGAGGCCCCGGAGGGAGTAATGGTAATAGAGGGAGTAATGGGAACAGAGGAAGTGTAAGGGAAGATAGGTACTATCCAGCAGCGCAAAGGTCCCGCGATAGAGAAGGTAGGGAC